ACTGCAACCTTTGTGCGCGTGTCAAGCGAAGCATATCTTCAGTCCCTTTCTTACCCTGTATCCTAAGTTGGCCCAGCCCTGGTCCGGTGCAAACCTAGTGAAATCAGCATCATCTCTAAGCCCTGCAAACAAACAAAATCCCTAATTTAGTCTACCTTCCTCCGACGACAACCCTACGCACAAAAAAATAACATATAGTACAGTGTGCTAAGTCATTGGGTGACATGCACTGTTAACATGCTACTTCACGATATCAAAGTGATCTCTAGAATTCGATTCCTGAGCTTCGTAGCATATGAAAGACACGTTCTTGTGCTCCTTTGTTGTCTATCTTATCCCCCTTTCAGCCAACTGGTTGGTGAGTTGCATTAATTGCCTTTGCCTTATTATAACCATTAACTTACTTTGCTGTTTTTCTTCGATGTCAAAATGGAAGTTATAATAATTACAAAGACCTGGCCTTGCGATATCTCTGTACTTCCTGACGAGTAACATGACTTCTCCTTCTGTGATGTCTGGAGGACCAGGGAAGCTGCGAGTAAACTGATAAGAAATAGAGAATATTGTTGTATCCTTTAATACATAGCCATGTTGTCACACATGCTCTAGGGGGGTAGAAAAGGAGTGGTTTTATTTGTAGCTAATCTAGTGTAGCAACATTTTCTATACACCATATGAGATAATAATGTTGTGGAGAAAAATAGTTGAAGAGGCAAAATAAAKAGTACAGGAAAAGTCCCAGAAGCACTTGCTGATGCAGAGGGTATTTATTTTCACCCCATTTTGAAAATGACAGTGTCTTCCATCCTATGATTTATGAATAACTAGCCAGCATACCTTAAAATAATTATGACATATTTGTTTATAGMAGAGATGTAAAATGCATATATGGATGGTAATATAACTAATGTCTGTTTACCTGCGGTTCAGTGACTACCCCAATATGGTGTTTATCAAAGTCAGCATAGCAGGTCTTGATGTTAATTCCATGGTATTTATAGTGTACTACCATTTTCATCAACAATTCATCACACTTGGCCAGAGAAGCAGGACTCAGTGGTCTTCTGTCAATAGTTTCACTGTGACAAGGGGAAAAAACCACTTAAGTTATAAATTTATAAGAGTAATATAAATATGGTCTGCTATGGTGTGCATCCATGTTCCTAACCCACTCAAAGAACAAGTTAGTGGAAGAACAAAAATTTCCCATTTCCCACTAAATTAACTTTTATTACCTTGCATCAGGACCAATCTTTTGTGTGGAAGGATCCTCTTGAAGATAATTTGGATCAAACACTWTTGAAAAAGGAATTTAGTTCTAAGTTAATTGATAATAAATAAATGGAAACAATATATCAAGAACAATCGAAAGTTTAAATCAGGGGCAGATCTAGGGATCTCAAAAATAAGGGGGACATAGCTGCGGCCACATAGCCCCTCCTAAACTTGCCTATGGTTYATTCCATGAAAGGGAAATGAATTTTTAAAGCAGCATAAAGGGTCTTAAGATGGTACCACGATAGCTATAGTATAGCTTCATTGGAAGACATAGGACTTTTTTCTAAAATTCAAACTGGAAATATGAAATATCCCATAGGCAAGCTTTTCTGCTACTGTCAATTTGATACTTTCAGTGAAGTTATTTGAAACACTTTCAAAACATTTCACTCAGTGAACCCAACTCTAAATCTGCCACTGTTTTATGCTGACTAATGATCACTGGCAGATCCAAGGGTGGTCACGTGGTTCCCGGGACTCCCCCCTTTGACAGAATTCATATGTATGATGCCTAGTTTTACCATGAATATAAACTTACCCCATCCCCCCCCCCCCCCAAAAAAATTTCCTCACAATTCTGGATCCGTCCATCCATGGCATCCCTAATGATTGTAATATCATATCAAGTATATCATACCTGCTCCAATAACCTCACAAAACTTTCTATAGTTGACCATGTTCTTCTGTTTAGGATCACTACCATATTTTTCCATCAGAAGCATGTCCTGCTCTGGGCTTAACACAATACCAAACAATTGGTCTAGACATCTGTCAAACTGGGGCTCTTAAATAAAGGAACGATTCTGAATTAAATATCTGAGTATGCATCATTTGTGAATAATTTTGTCMATGTTAGCCTGTTGACGGCTTTGGGTGGTTGGGGGGAGGGGTACAAAATGGGGGTATGGTCACCCCCCTCCCTTCCTAGTTTCCCCCAGTACTCTGCCACAAACCRCAACAGTAAGATACAAATAAACCATTTTGAATAAATCTCCAATGAAGCTTTGCGACGAGATAGGTAAATAAATATAGCGAGAATAAMAGATAATAGGACATGAGAATATTCATAACCATTCTGAATCTCCTGACTCCCTGCAAGTTAATAGAAAAATTTCTTTCTTCCTTATTGATCCTGAATGATTAAYTCTAGTGAACTAGACTCACTGGTAATGAATCCTGTTCGTAGACGATCAAAGTCCTTAAAATACTCGGTCAACCTCACGTTCCTAGCCTTCACTACAAGCCGAACTTGGTCCTCTAAGACATGAACATCAAAAGGAGAACTCTGTAGAATAAAAACAAAATGAAATAATTATTCAAAGAMACTGTAAGAGACGGAATTTATAAAACAACTTCTCAGTTCAAACGCGTCATGTCCGGTAGGCTATCAATTTAATTGTTAYCTCTTGTGAAAATATTTAGGATTTCAAAAAGATATTTCTTTTATGCCACTTAAAAACTACTTACCAGGTTCTYAGTTGTATTTGGAAGAACGGAAACCATTCTTAACTTGAATTTTTCTTTTTTCCTGAAGAAAATGGTAAAAAGTACATTTTATAAACATGGTTAATGATGTAACCAGGGTTTCAAACCTTCGGGCAAATGCTTGAAATAGAAAATAAGTTAGACTGAAAACAAGCTTTCTAGATGGCTTAGAGTGTTTAGCTGTGCTTCATCTATTACCTGACGACTGTAATAGTTGTTAAAATAATAATTTAGGATTGAATTTGGAGCAACTTTCACGCCGCTTGAAAACACGGCCAAAACAGATGCAACTGCTTGATCTTCTACTTTGCCTTTGTTGAATGTTGCTTAGCAACAATGCCTCGTTTCGATTTCACACAGGCAACCCATCTAACCCTCCTCAACTATCGATCTTTGCGGCGATTTTTGCTGCGATTTTTGCTGCGGTTTTTTTTTTTGTTGCGATTTTGTCTATAATAAATAATGGGAAAGAATTTACTTGTAAAGTCTTTTTCACGATACCAATATTTTCCTAGACGAATGTCTCTTTTGAAGGATGAGACAAAAGATTTTATATTTCCAAAAATGACCAAAAAAAATCGCAGCAAAAATCGCCGCAAAAATCGCCAGTGTAAACGGGGCTTTACGTAGTCATAATTTCGTCATACGTCCTTTCATTTTCAAACAGGATTTCTTTTAATTAAGTAGATGGAATAAATGATAAGCCAATTCTTTCAAAGTACACTAGGGGAGGTTATGTTTCTACAGTTTTTTTGAATATCGGCCTCAAATTGAATTTAAAACAGAATCTATTTATRAAAAGTTATYATATTACATAGTTAAGAATGAGATACGATTAAATATAAATGTTATTGTTTGTTAAAAATAAATGTTASAGGGTTTTAATTTGTCCCTTTTTAYAAGGTRTASTGACTCAAAGGTTTAGAGTTTACTCTTGTGGGTTTCCTGTGTCATATGGATACCGCGAAGCTGGTATTGAGACGCTGCACGAGGTTCAAAAATGGCGGAATTCGAAAGCCCAAAGAAGAAGAAAACACCAAAGAAAACGAAGGAAGAGAGCGAGAATCTGTCAGAATCTATACAAAAGCACCCAAAAGAGAAATCCCCAGGTTTAAAGCGGAAGTCTCAAAGTTCGTCCGACGATGAAGACGCGGCCAAAAARCCTAAAAATGTCGCTTCCAAAGTCACTAATGGCCAACTTGATGCTTCCTCTTCTAACTCAAAATGGACCCTTCAAGAAGAAGAAGACCTTTTTGATAAAGTTGAAGAATATCTGATGACCAGGGAGGAGGCTGAGGGAACTAAAAAACCTATATWTATCAAACATATAGATTGGAGTAAAATTGATTGTGGCGATCRTACTTCTGAAGAAGCACAACATAGGTTCTTGACCATTTCAAATCGTGTTCGAAAGATGCGAACAGCAAGCGAGGTCTTAAWAGATATGAAACAAGTTCATAAGAAGACAACAGTTACGTCCGCGAAGMAGAAGGATGTCGATCCAGAATTACCCAAGAAGCCTAATACGCCATATATCAAGTTTGTTATGGCAAAGATACATGGGATACAAGGGAGACATCCTGAAATGAAGCACCTTGACATAACGCGAAAACTTGGAACCAAGTGGAACAATCTGTCTGAAGAAAAGAAGAAGAAATACTTAGACAAATATCACGAAGAAATGGAGAGTTATACACTTCAACTCGTTGACCACCTGAAAAGCCATAACCCAGAAATTAGCCCTCCAAAGATGAAGTTCGAGCTGTGGGCTGAAGAAGAGGAAAAGAAGATAAAAGAAGAAAGACCTGATATATCTGAGAAAAAACTAGCAAAGAAACTGAAACGACGATGGGAGAATCTGGATGAAGAAGAAAAAGCAAAATGGGAGGAAAAGGAGAAAAAGGAACTGAAAAGGTTTAGGGGCAGAATAGCAAGAGTTAAAAAACGAAAACAGAAGTCAGAACTTAAACTAGAAAGTTCTTCTGAAGGAAAATCAGATAATTAAGTCATGTTTTCATTGCTAGCACTGATTAAAAACAACAGCTGCAAAAGGTAAGTTGGGCAATATACTGCTGTTAATCAGAGTGTTTAAAGGTACCAAATGACTTGTTTGATGTTAGCCTGTGTGGTCAGGCTCTTCACTTGCTTTTCCCAGAAAAGTGAGCGAAGAGCCTGACCACACAGGCTAGTTTGATGTATAGTAGTCTAATGCCTGATTTCCCTTTGCGACTGGTGTCTCCATCAGTGTGTAGCAATGAAAATAGTTGTATGGTTGGCCAGACATATATTTATGTACATCTCATTAGTATAACATGACAAAAGTGTTCTGTATCACTTCAAGCCTGTTGGACTGATTTTGGAATGGGGTGGTGAGGTTGATGCAAAATGAAGAGGCTTGTCAAAACATTGGGGGTGGGGGGAGGAGGGGAGTAGGGATTGCATTCACACCCTATGCCCTCAGCCTATGGTCCTGCAGTTTTATGCCAAGATCTGATTTAATCAGAACTCTTGCAATTGAGAAGTAACATATATGTTTTTGTGCTTCACTATTTCCGTGAAATGGCTTCCACCAGGACTATATAGTGCTTTTCTTAACAATCACAGCCAGATTTTAATGTTCCATGGATGCACCCAAAAACTGTATCTTATAGTGTGCTTGGTGTCACTCTAAATTCCAAAGAAATGAAAAAATGTTTTGCAAATAATTCTCCTCATTTAGCCATACTCTTATAATTATTTTAATTCAATGGGATCTAATATGTATCACCTTGTAATCCCTATTGTATATCCCATACAGATGGCCGCAAATTTACTAGCAATTTTATTTTATAGACCAAATTCAAAACTCGCACTGATGTGAGGCTTAAGTTGTGAACAAAGGAATCTGGCGTGATTCGTGACTTTTGAATCACGCCAGATTACTTTGAGTCACGCCAGATCCCTTGCGAGTTTTGAATTTGGTCTATAGTGTTTAGTAAAAACGACTCAAACACTTCTTACTGTGAACTTAGTAGTGATATTTTAATAAAAATATCTTATTAATATAAATGCTTTTAGTCATTTTTATTTGGTAGTCATAAATTAAAAGAGATGTTGAAGCCATGTTGATTTTGACCCCTAAGTACGACCATATATAATTCAAAGTGATTGTGGTGGACAACATCTTTATTTTGTTCTTTCATGCTTGTTCAATAAAGAATGCTGAATTTTTAGCCATAAATTAAGAAGTTCACTCGGGAAGCACTTTCGACCCTAAAAGGACTGTCAATCACCCCTATAAAAAAGGAACCCCCCCCTCCCCACCCCACGGGGGGATGAAGAGCTACTCTGTTGAAATGCCTCCGTTACTTCCCATCTATTTACTTCGTGTAACGATTGAGGGTCATTTGTCTTCATCATCTTCATAGTGCTCGTCGTCGTTGTGATTGGATTGTGCTGTGGTTTGCTGTTTCGTTGTCATGTTGCGTCTAATCAGAGTTATTTTTGATTGTCGGTATCCATGTTTGAGAGATTTCTACATAATGAAATGAGAGATATCTATTCTCAAGATTTGGCACAAATGAATAACTACTAGCTTTGCGCATGAAAGCTCTGCAGCCATGCAAAATACAGCATAACAAGCAAATAAAACCGTAGGGTTGCATTCTCTTCTAACTCCCTTTTCTTTCAACTCCAAATTCTTTGATCGTTACCGTCTTGACGTCAATAGCAAAGCTATTTGCATTGTTACCATGGTGCTTCATTTTGGTTGCTAGGGACAGCGTTAAAAAAATCACGTAGTCAACATTTTAATGTTTTAAATCCTTCCTATACGCAAGCAACAAACGAAAAAGCCATTTTAAAGATTGAGGGGAAAAAATGGGCAGTTTACCTGGAAAGATTGTGAGTCGACAAGATGTTTGCGAAATCAAGACTTTCCGTTTAGAAGAAAAGGTTGAACGACTAGAAAGCGAAGTAATGAAAATGCGCTCAGAAATCGAGAGCTACCATAAGAGTAATAGTGCCCGTACCTGTCCTTCTACAACAGCAAGAAGCAATGAGAGCGAGGGGTATTCAATATGTGAGCCTCATTCAGGTAGGTGGTTTGTGCTAAAAAATACAAATATATATCAGGACGAAAAGTACTAGAGTCCATCTGGTTAGAGTGAAATAGTCAGGTATACTGACCTATTCTCGTTTAAAACCGGAGTAGTCGCCTTTTCTGTTCAGTGCGATCGGCAACGGCTTAATCCATATGAACAGGCAAAAACTAAGGGTCTGATATTCATAAAGAGTACAGTGGGTAGGAAGGTTGTAAAAAGCGACAATGTTTCAGTGAAGGGTGACTTCTTACACCAAATTTGTGACAGTACGTTGATTTGGTTGTGAAAAAGGCGATCAAAGTCGCGATTATCCAAATACAAGAAAATTAAGCATTGAGAAAATGATAGCAACTTGGGTCTTACGATAAATTATTACTATTATGATGCACTCGACAAAATTAGGCGATTCTGATTGGACAAGAGTATAATTAAATCCCAAATTGTACTCATGAAGAGTCCCAATTGAGTCGCTTAATTTTTATGACCATGTATAATCATACCCCGGTATCATACGAAACATCGCACAATCTTCTCGTACAATTCGAAATTTATAAATGCTAGTCAATTTTGAAAACTTTCGAAACGTCACTCGCACCTATAAATTCCGATTTGTAGAGTCGAAATCGTGCGATTTCCTATGCTAACATCATGGAATATCCCCGGCTCAGTCCTGCACTCCGATTGGCTGTATCATCTTGAATAGTGTGACATGAATATGACATATTTCTATCAACTGTTCATTTCAATAGAGTTGAATATAAAGCGTCGTGGATCGGTAGTGATCTTTACTGAAGCGCTCCTGAAGGCCGAACTGCAACGCCTGCGAGGAGAGAACAATGTACTATCAAAAGAACTGGCAGGCATAAGGCAACCAACCTACCTCGGGTTTCAATTGGACCATTTGGACGAAAACGATGATCAGAATTAATTTGACTTTGCCAGTAATGTTGGGCAATTGTTCCGGTTCTTCTTTGCTTTGAAAAATCGGCCAAATTAATTTTCAATGCCTCTTAAGACCTCCACGCGGTTGGCAACATAAATTGTCTTATATGCGGTAAATGCCGTGAAAAAAATCATATTTCAGCTCTGATTAAAGCAATACATCCGCACATAGTTAATTGACTATGATCCGCACGGGAACAAAAATAACCGCTTTGCAGCAGAAGGAAACCGAAAAACCGGTATATAGTGGACTGATTTTCGATATTTTTGAAGAAAAGAAACAAATATACTTCAAATCTTATCGATACCCGGAAGCAACCACTGCATGGGCTGATCAAAGTCAGGAGCTATAACTCACAGATCGAATTGGAGGACGGAAATCTGGAGAACCCGGAGTAAAACCCTCGAATCAATGCCAGAAACTTAAAAAACTCCATTCAAATGTGATACCGAGTCCAGGTATTGTCATGGTAGGCCTATCAGCGAGTTTGCTAAATAATGCATAAAAGTATTTCAAAACCTAACACAAACCGAAGTCTTTCGACATGCAGACTGAATTCATCTATTTGTCTTGGGCGGGAACAAGATGGCCGACCGAACCTTTCCGGTTTGACCCACAATCCCACACGATACCGGACTCTAGAAAATGCTGCTGCAAGGTTTTACAAAAATGGGAATATTTTTGACGAGATATTTTCATAAAATTTTAATCTAGATCTTATTTAGCAATACGGCGGCCATCTTGGAACGTAAGGCAACATGGGGGCGTCAAGGAGGGCAAATAGATATATTGGGCACGTCACAATGTGTTTCTTGTGAAGGAGGTCTCATTACTTCGTGGTATCGACTGCACGTGAAAGATTTAAGGTTTGAATTTAGAGGCGTGATACGGTACGTCCCAGATTCTATGCACAACCCCGCCTTTACAAGCCTTTCTTCAAGTTAAACTTTGAACTCAAAGACAAAGTTTTTTAAAGCTGAATCTAAAGATAACACAAATATTTAGATAAACACGACTGATAACGTTTGTTATGCTGTTTGTGTATTTTTTGCAGCATTTATTAGGCTAACTGGAACAAGTTTTGAATGATATAAAATGTAAAAACTATATTTATATTATATCTATAATAAAATTTATCTATTACTCCGACATTATCTTTCGTTCAATTTTTGTCGGTAACCAAACTAACTTCTTATTAAAACTAGAATTTAACAAAATATTACTTTCAGGTAACGATATTGCATCTTCTACGTATATAAATATATGATTTTTTTTATTTCCAAAGAAGGGCTTTCGGTTGATCACAGACCAATCATCAAGGGAATGTGAAAAGAATTTAAAAAACATGAAACGAAAGTTCTTCCAAATTCTTTTAGGCCCTGATGCATGTGTGAATGACCCGAAAGCCCTCTTTAAGTGGATGATAATAACATTTATCTCATAGATACCGGTGTAGAAGAGTCAATTATTTACAGAACATGACACGACGTACAACGAATTCCTAAAAAATGTGATTCAAAAATACGGAGAAAGGAAACGACATTTTGGACTGGGGTATTGCGACAAAAGAGCCCGTAATCAGGACTGTCCTGATTGGCTGTCTAAACTGAAACATAATAATTTGGATTTGAGCTAAAGTCTCTTGTCGTTACCAGCCCTTTTATACTAATCCGCGTACAAGCACGATACAAGTACTGTTTTTTATACTGTTTTTGTACTGTATTTTTGACAAACAAATTACGAATTACTATTGCTGTGACAACGACAAACCCTCAGATCTTAATAAAATCACGACTAGATAACACCGTTATCATCAACTATTCAGTCATCCTATTTTATTACTGTATACCAAAAAAATCGTACATCAACATCGTCATCATCATCATGACCATCATAATAATCATCAATCATTATCATCACCATATCCATCATAGTATCCATCAGCATCATCGTCATGATCACCATCATAATAATCATCAATCATCATCAACATCATCATGACCATCATAATAATCATCAATCATCATCATCACCATATCCATAGTATCTATCATAGTATCCATCAGCATCATCGTCATGATCACCATCATAATAATCATCAATCATCATCATCATCATGACCATCATAATAATAATCAATCATCATCATCATCATGACCATCATAATAATAATCAATCATCATTATCACCATATCCATCATAGTATCTATCAGTATCCATCAGCATCATCGTCATGATCACCATCATAATCATCAATCATCATCAACATCATCATCATCATGACCATCATAATAATCATCAATCATCATTATCACCATATCCATCATAGTATCTATCAGTATCCATCAGCATCATCGTCATGATCACCATCATAATAACCATCAATCATCATCATATACATCATAATCTTAACCATCATTATCACCAGCATCGTCATCATCCTCATAATCATCTTCAATCATTATCATCACTGAGATCATGATCAGCACCATCATCATCAAAAAGTTTCGTATCTAAACCGAACTGAATCAAACGACTAACACATAAATTTAGAGTTTCCTTGACTACATACTATATGTAATCAAGTAGGCAGGAAAGCTTGCCTCGTTCTTGTACAAGACATAAATTCGATGACGTTTAGTGATTCCCGTCACGCTGTCATAATGACGGCTCGTGGCAGCATTAAGTGGCGGCTTTCTGATGCTTCGATCGGGGTTCATGTTGATGGATTCACCCGTTAAAACATGAGCAAGGAAGATCTGATAGTAACGTTTCTCCTTATGTATATACTGGTAGGTGAACTGATGATGGCTGTAAGCCGCATGCACCGCAAAGTAGCAACCACGTCCCCACATGCCGTCTGCTGAGTATCGCATATCGAAGCCTTCTTCACTGTTCCATACTACTGATGGTGGTGTTTGCCTAGTACCATGGAACAGCTCCATTTCATTGATCCCAGCTGGTCCTGCAAGAAATAATATGGGGTCATAAACTATCTACATGGTGCCATTTACCCGCCAACCTCGGTCGGGGTTTGCTTCTGAACGTGCTCCTTATAGAGCTTTTAAGTGTGACGTCAATCGTATAGAAAACATTTGAGACAAAAAAAACCTCTTGGGATTAAATGCCTCTCTTTATGGCTTAGGAGTTCGTATGATTTTGGCGAAAAAGAATTTCTTGGTCAAAACGTACGATGCGTACTACATTACAATCAATGATAATTTACCATTTTTTTCTCTGAGTAATGCACGTTGAATTCCATATTTTCTCTCCAACCAGTCATTTTTTACTCTTTTGATCTTCTTGATGACAGCTTTTGCAAGACTTTTTTTAAGAAGACCATCCACATGTGCAAATTCTGAGGTGCCAGGCAAGACCTCGAATAGCTCTCGGGTCGTGGCTGTACTGGCGTTATTAGTACTAGTACTGTCATGGCCGTGCCATGTTTCTGGGTTAGACAGTGGTAGAAGGGAAAGACCTGTCTCTTCTCTGGTGATAAAACAAAAGATCATGACTTCATAAAGAAAGGAAAGTCAACCAGACTCTAAACAAATATCTAGAATATACTTATGAAATAACTGAGGTTTAACGTGCGCTCTCATTGGTCGAAATGCCATTTCGTAAATGCTTGCTCAGCATGCGCGCTATAAATTTGCTTTCTGATGGGAAAAAAAGTTATCTTTCATTTTTGCTCTTAAGTTTATCTACTGGATAAGATTTATCCGTCGGATAGCGCTATCCAGGTTTTGTACAACCAGGCCCTGATCTTTACACCAAGGTTTTTTTTAGATCAGAGTATACAAAATAAAACGTATTTACATTTAATTCAAACTATTTGTGAAACTGAATTATACTAGACTAAAAGAAAGCAAGTATATATGGTGTGGTCCCATATTTTAACCGACTAACTAACATGAAGATTATTAGCAATATATTCACACCGACGGAAAGCCCCAAGTACAGGAGGAATAATATATGGGGAGAAAAGGGGCCCGAGGCTTTGTGAGCGGTATCTCACATGCAGTCAGGTTGGGCGTTTCAGGGAAGAAATCATATCAAGAAGAAATTGCATGTGAATAACCATGATATCTTCAAATGTGAAGATTACACAATAATAGGGTAAAAATTCTAGGAATTGCATATAGTAATCCCCTAATTATATTAATAAATAAAAGATACAGATTTTATCTTCTTGTGATGAGAATATCTTACTCGTTCGCTGTGCTCACTTGTAAGATATGACCCCAGCAATCAAAGATAAAAGCCTTATCTCTGTACAGCCATGTAATATAATTCATTTTACCTTTTATCATTCTTGCCAGGCACAATCTCTTCCAAGGTTTCAGTCCTGTATACATTTCTGACTTTATTTCTCAGTGTCTCTTTTACGGTCATTGCATTGAAATCAAACCATAACAGAAGAGTTTCAGGTGAGAACTTGACGTTCACAAAACTTCCATTACCATGCTTGGTGTATTCTGATTCAATGATATTTGATTCAGCTCTACTAAAAGGAATGCTCCTCATTTTTTTATCTTCCCAAAACCAAGCCACCTTCTTTTGCTTCTTGATGACGTTTTCTACACCTGAAGTCATAGTCGATGCATTTTCTATTAATTCTTTATTAACTATTGCTACTCGATTAGGTTTGTCCTTCAATTCTTCAAGTCTTGAGAAGATGTAATTAGGGTCACTCTCTGGACATACTTTAGCTAACATCTCAGTGTCCATCTGTAAGTCTAACATCTCTTTTCTGGCTACGTCCTCTTCCTCTGAAAGTTCTAAAGGCTGTGATGAATGAGCCAGGCTTTGGGGCTCAGATGGCAAATCAACACATTTACTAGTATCTGGTTTCTTTTTCTCCACCACTAACACAATTTGCTCTGGGTTGAGATATCCAGTTGAAAATCTATTCTGAGTAGCATTGGCTGCAGAACTACTTTGATTTTGGTCTTCTTGCCCAACAGCAGTTGTTGGCCTGTTTTGATTTTCGTTATTTGTTTTTGTGTCTAGACTGACACCAGTAGATTGAGGACTCGTAGTTGGAATGGGAGTGATAGTTTGTGGTTGTGTATTTGTAGTACTTGAAGAATGGGTCTCATTCATATTTCTCACAATATTTCCCCAACCAATATGTATGCCTTGATCAGTATCCATCAAAGGAGGAAATGATGGACTTTTGCCTTTTTTGGAAGGCATCCCTGCTGTTGAATAATTTGAAAGGCTTCCCTGTGATTCTAACATCTTTCTGCTTACACTATTGATAAAAGAGCTAAAATCAATGCCGACTAAAGCACTTGACTGACACCTGTTTGAAGAATTCGTTGAGGAGTAATCAGATGTACTTGTTGATGTTGAAGGGGCCCTAAAATCATCGGTGCTTGAACTGTAATTGGGAGATCCATGTGTTGAGCTTTTGCCAGGTGTCTTTTTCGATGGTGAACTGGTAATGAGGTAGTCAGAGGAATTCCTTGAGGCTGAAGGGGATCCCTTTGCATCACTGGATCTTACAGGAATATACGTACTGGTACTTGGAGAGTTGTGCGTTGAACATTGGTCATGTATCTCTACTGATGGTGAATTTGAAGGGCTCGAGTTAGATATTGAGTAGGTGGAACTAGTTCTTGAGGGTTTACCTGCACCTCTTGAATTATAAGATATTGTATGGCTATTAGAAGACATCGTATGTGATATACTATCCTTGCATACTCTTTTCGAAGGGGATGAACCATTTGAGTTGTCCAATGTACATTTTACATCAGCTGAAGTTTCACTTCTAGGATTAATAGAATTTGGTGCAGCTTTCACATCTTTTCCCCCTGTATATGGCTTTGCTATGTCCCTACTTGCAACAGACCTATCTACGCATCTCTTCATTGAAGGGTGCACCTTTTTATTCCCATAACGAATGTCTATACCAACTTGTGTCATATTAGTTGATGGCAGAGAGTCGCTAGCTTTAGGCTTGGTGTCCCTTTGATTAACTTTTATGTCTCCATTAGTAATGTCTATTGAAGCTTCTTTAGAACTTGGCTTTTGCTTTTTACTAGCACTTCTTGGTGATCTTGTCATTGTATGCAAAGAACTGCTTGATGATAAATTTGAAGCTATTTCTCTACTATTATTACTGAGAGGAACTTTATTTTCCATAGTGTCATGCTCGTCTAAATCCATTTCTGATTTTACAGCTTCATGTACACCCTTGCTTCTACCATTTTGGTCCTTAAGCCTTTTCCCTCCTGGGCAATCATCAACACTCTTATCTTTTTTTGTTGATGAAATAGATTGAGTACTTAATGGTGATTTGTTTTCATGTTTATTGATAGTGCTAGAACTGTTAACAGTTGGTTCAGTACTCCCTATGGTTTCAGATGCACTAATGCTTGTAGACCATGTATGCTTAATATCCTCATTAATATGAATATCATCATCATCATCACCACCATATATCAAGTTGGAAACAACACGCACACATTCCTCAATGTCTTCATAAATTTCTAGGTAGCTTTTTAGCACCTCTTCGTCCAATGAAGGAAACATGGTTTTGAGTTGAAATAAATCTGTCTCGAGAGATAAATTCACCAAATCAAAGTCTCTGATGTTTATTCCTGAACATGATGGCTTGTCCCAGTCACTTGGGCTACTACATAGATCATTCTTGCTGTCACTCCTTTCTATATGTACATTGGAATCTACTCCTGAGGTTGAAGCATGTTCCCCACTATTTGTGCTGGAATCAAGATTGGAACCCTGGTTTTGTAGATCACTGGTACTATATCCTGAACACAATGGTTTGTCAGAATCATTTTTTGTACTAGAACTACATGAACCATTTTTGCTGCGACTACTTTCAATATGCATATCAGAATCCAACCCTGTTGAAGTTTGTCCATAATCATTTGTGTTGGAATTGAGGTCATTGTTATTACTGGAATTCTGGTTTTGAAGCTTCGTGGGACTAATTCCTGAATATGATGGATTATTTATACTCATAACAACAACATTTTTGATGTTGATACTATTATTTGATTTACTTTGTCTGTATCCTGATGAAAAGGACTTTGTATTTGGTAACGACTCAGGTTTGGATTTAGTACTTGTCTCTGATGAAGTCTTTTTTGTTGATTTACCATCCCAGACTGATATGAACAAATCATCATCATCATCACTGTCATTTTCTGCAGGATGAAAAGATTCTTCACTTTCAATCTTTGGCTTCTTTGCTGTGGGCATTTTCCTTGCTGCAGTTTCTGAATAATATTCTTTTTTTTCTAAGAGCAATAAATTAAATGTGCTGTTTCATAGAAAACAATTCATTTATCATACCCATATATTACAAAGTTGTCCATCACTGAAATAAAGATAAATAAGACCAGATATTAATAATTTTTGTTAAATATTTATTGCATGGCTAAAAATGTCTAAATCCCTGGTTATACAGACTCAACACCATATTACCCTCAACCATGACCATACATTAACCAGATAATTTATGCATGCCAAGAGCATATCGGAAGCCATTTCAGTGACATTTTACTGTTTTGCAAAGTTTCATACATCATGTCCACACTCATATTTATCATTCAGACATTTTCTGCCAAAGTGCAAGGTCGCAATGTACTTTAGCACACTATCCCTTCCTGGATTTTGGCATGGATATTTAAAATTATCTGTGTTCACAATATTTCCTAAAAATACTCTCAATCCCCACTTGTGAACACTCTGCAATATTTTCAAACAAGAAAATTTTAAACAAATTTTTGTAATGGTATTGAAATGACCTTAATTAATCTACCTTTGGCTTATGCACCTATCAGCGGCTTCCCCGTGGGGTTGACCCCCGGGCTGACCAGGGAGATGGGTGGGAGAATATAGGAGGATTGGATCCAGTTATTCCCCCTGGGGTTGGGAAAATTTGCGACATTGGTTTCTTGGCTAAAAACTGAGGTGGGGGATTGTAATGAAATTATTTTCATTGCAGAGGTTACCAGGGGGATTGATTTTACTCTCTAGTTAAAGAAATAGCTCCTGATTTTAAAAATATTTAGACCACAGACGTTTTTGGTCGGGCTGGGTAACCTGTGTTATTTGCCAATACCCAGATGCATTTCTGTTCGTCAAGATGGCTGACGAGGTGAGAGAGTTCCACTGTGAAGTATGTTTTTTGACATTCTTTGTTGTTTCATAGATACGAATGTGAAGGCACCTCGATTTTTTTTACTTTGAAATGTGAATTCTTCAATTCATGAGAGTTTTTTTYCAATCTTTTCAATGAAAAACTACCTGAAATATCGAGCAAACCGCATGGTTATGTGTTGAGTTCAGTTTTCAAAATACAATAACAATAATTTCAACCAAAATGAGGGAGATTGTAGATTTGAATGCCTTGACCAGGGGACATTGAAAAGAACAACTTCCCTACCCCTGGGAAAAATGATCAACATTGTTTATGAATTTTTACAATCTCCCTGGTCAGCCCGGGGGTCGACCCCACGGGGAAGCCGCTGATAGGTGCATTAACAACTTGAAAAGTACTTAAGATTGTGTACTCCAGAAATTATTCATACCTCCACATGTGTCATCATAGTGTCAATTTCACAGACCAAAGAACAATATCACTCATGTGAGCTCATTTGCGACCTCTTTTTCTAAACCTGCCCTTTATTTCGCTCAAAGGTTTTTAGTTGATGGTTTTAATAGAAAGACGAAATGTATTATTTGTCTGAATTTAAAGGACATCGATGTCAGCCCTCAGTAAGGCAAACGGCGGGAAATCTTACTTGGCTTCGTACTTTCAGATTCCCCTCTCTTTGACTCCTATCTTGTGCTGAATTAATAAATCTTTATCTAATTAACTCAACAGACTTACCTCCTCAGCTTTCCAAACAGTTTGAGACGCAAAAAACATGAATTATTTACGATCATTAAGGGTAAGTTGCGTCCTCTGGACGGTGATCCGCAGCAGTGTGGACACTTCCGTAACAAATATAAGACCGATTTTGATTGGTCAATTGCGACCAATCAAACATCTTCTTAGAAACTTGGAGTGTTGTATGATGGGAAAATAAAATGGCGTCTTAGTGATTGTTGCTAACAAGAACTTTAAATTATATTTTGATATTTTTCTGAGCCATTTTAATGCATTTTCGTGGCAATAACATCAAAACATTGAAGGAAATACGCAATAGATCTTTCTTGTGATGAAACATAAAGTTACAGTGAAGTTTGGACCCTATGTTTCTTGTGGTTTGTTGGAGCACAGGACAGCAAGACTGGAAGGATTACAAGGTAAGCTAGTAGCGCAGTCAGTTTCGCCAATAAAAAATAAGCTCAAATGAAGCTTAATGTTTGTTATTTAAAGAAATATTTATATATGTTTAATTGCAGAACTCTTACGTAGTAATGATCACACAGTAGAATTCGTTAAAATACCAGATCGAGATGTAGTTGAGTTAGTCGTTCATGGAGAAGTTATCTACCAGTGTAAAATACAAGATCTACGATATGGTACGTACGTAGATGATTAAGATATTTGGGTTGTCCTTCTAGATCTGCCTTTTTTTCAGTTGTCTCTACCCAGTGTTCAATATGTCTGGTACTTGTGTCTGTCTGTTACACCTGTTTGTTTGTTTACCTAAACGTCCGAGCTTTTTGCTTTTTGGTTATCATCTGTCTGTCATTGATTTGCTGAAAGGCTTCTACAATCCTTGCAAAACCAAAAATTTACTTGATGCAGATAAGGCATTCATTTACAAAGCTTTTATCTAGGATGGGGGTGGTATATTCTGTAATGGCCAGATTTTCTTTATGAAATGTCCCTAAATGAGGTGGGCCTAGCCCATTGCATGCGCAGTCACTCTTTCTCCACTAGTAACAATAGCAGGGACTGCAGAGCTAGGGGGTCTGGGGGGCTATAGCCCCCCTCCCCCCAATAATTTTGCTGCGATGTTGAATTACACTGGAAATAGCATTACTGGGAGTCTCAATTTCAGAGTTTTTCAGGGGGCATACCCCACAGATGCTTACCCCACCTTTGGCAGTCATTAGCTGCCCAATCAAAATTACGCTCTGCAGTCCCTGCATCATCACCGGTAATAGTAACATTTTTATACTTTTATAGGAGGCGATGGAAAGCTGGACCCAGTATGTCATGAAGCATTAGAAGCTGTTAATAAAGCATATTAATAATAAGAATATTAAGGTTTTTATAAACTACAAAAATTTTACATCTTCTAAGTTACTCAACCATTTGTAAATATCACATTGGTATGATGGTTTGTAAAATATAGAGTATTTAACTAATGATTTATTTTCATATACCTGTGGTTGTCATTAAAAGTAGTACTGTATGTGCTGTGAGTAGTCTTCTCCGCAGTCATTAGTTTCAGTCCCAGATCCTCACAGGCCCTCCCCACTCAACCCGATGAAACCAACCCAATGGAAAGGAATGAAGTACTAAGTGAGCAGTGGAGTTAGTGGAAAGGGGATTGAGGATCTAAGACTGAAACTAATGAAAGCTGCAGAAGAGACTAAGCTGTGAGGAGCTGCACTCATTCTTATGTGGCTGTGAGGGGCGGCACTCATTCTTATGCAGCTGTGAGAGGCGGCACTCATTCTTATGTGGCTGTGAGGGGCGGCACTCATTCTTATGCAGCTGTGGGGGGTGGCACTGATTAGAGACCCCTTGCACTAATTCCCTACATGGGGGTCAAAACAATTAAACATTAAAATTCATAAAAGATTTCAATCCTCAAGATAAGGGACTTCTTTTATTTTGACCCCCAGATTGAGCTGCTTTGACATCATATGCAAGGTGTCTATAGCACTTGGCATTGGTAAGCATTGCTAGAAGCTGCATATTCATAGTAAATTGCTGTGCTTTCTTGTGTTTCTGATAATCATGTTTAAGCAAACACATACACATTTTCAAAGTGATATCGTTGGAGTATCTCATTTTTGCTATTTTCTTAATACAATTAATTCACCATCTATATTGCAATTTATGTTTACTTATTCGTCTTGCATTACTAAGTAATGCTTTTGCTCTCAATCCCTATATACTGAGTTTTGTATTTCTCCATAAAATGATCAAAATCATGCTGCATTACATATCTACAGTAAAATAAAATCTAGAGGAACAACAAACTCCTATATTTAAATTTATGTTACTCCATTTAAGAACTGATATACTGTATTTCGGTCATCAGAAAATAAGGCAGAGAAAGAGAAAAAAGGGAGACATAGTAAAGGGTTTAAGCCAGAGCTTCATCAATCAAATTTTCTTGTTCAGAGATGTGTTGGTGCTTGTTTCCAGTAGCTGTTGAAGCAGCAGTTGAACGACCAGCATAACTGAGGAAAAGAACAAACCACTTTCATAAAATAATGACAGCTACAAAATTAATACTCCCACTTCCATATCAAAATACTGAAGTTTGTTAAACAAAGATCGCTAATACTCCAGTTGCCAGTTCTCTGTCGTTAAGTTTTAGCCTCAACATTGTGCAGAAAATGGCTTCATAGTATGGAAACAGCATTAATAAAAGTATCCATCTTATAAGTGATATATACAGTATGAGCGGCYGTGTTGTATGGCTGATGTGTTTTCCTCAAGAATTATTAATGAGTTTGACAAGAATGCTTATACAGTGCTTAGTCACTGTCACAGCATAAAGCACATCCCAACTGAGCACTTTTTTAAATAATGCAAAGTCTGTTTTATACTGATTCTTATAATTCAAATACTCCATGTATTCGTTCATACCTTACTTCCACCTGTTTATTGACTGCTGTTTCAATACGGGGTTTGACATATGCCCAGTATCCCATATTCTTTGGCTCCTCTTGAGCCCACACAATCTTGGCATTGTCATACTTGATATGTTCAGCCTTGATCAAATCTAAAGGGAATGGGCTGATCTGAAAATGGAAATTAAAGCTCAATTAGAAAAAGAAACTATTTCTCCATTCATTTATTCACTCCAATCATGTAGAATCAATACCAAAAGTATTGTCTCAGGCTTAAAAACCACTCAAAAATAAGTGAGAAGGTGCTGCCTTTATAAAAACATCTGGGAATTACAGGTAGACCTTCAAGTCTTCTCAGACAAGGACTACGAGTTATAGGTGAAAACTGTTGTGGTGTCCCTGATTTTACAGGAAAAGCTAAATAAGTATGATTTTTCAGGATTTCATCTTGTTTGATTACCTGTTCCACACGAGTTATGGCAATGTCTTCATCCAAGCCTCTCTTGTTGCGCTCCTGAAATTAAATGTGCAAGTTGTCTTAAATTTTCCAATAACAACAATGTTGTTCAAAGTTAAGTAACTAGATTTATTAAGCCCCTGGACACTAAGCAATTTGCCTTTCATTGACCAAACTAACAACAGAAGTTACCTTCAGTAACTCGTAGTAGATTTTTCCTGTGCAGAGGAGCAGTTTTCGTACTTTCTCTGGGTTACTTGAAGCTGGACCATTATCTGGAATAATTCTTTGGAATGATTTATCTGTAAATAAAGAAATCCAAATGCACATAGTATTATTAAATTATATAAATCAATAAATCATCTTTTTCATTCTCACTTTTAGCTTCCAGCCATTTTCTTTGTTCATGACATAAAAACCAATTCAATTCAAGATCAAATGATTTGAAAAACTGTAAAATATGCATGTAATGTGCTCCTATTTCAGACGACATGTAATTCTGTTTGAATCATATCAAGCATGTTGAAAAAGGAATATTACTCAGAAGAATGACACATGATCTGATGTATTACTATCTAAAAAGTTGTTTACCTTCTTGTAGAAAGCTTGACTTAAATAACAAAAATAATAACAATAATAACAAACAGAGGAAAATGCAGTTATTAAAACAATATAATAGAGGGGCCGGGGTGGAAGAGAAAAATACTCGGAAAGTAGGCAAAACCATTTCTAACACAAAATAGGTATTTTCAATGTAACATGAAATGGTTAGTCCACTCTGGGCCTCAGACAACTAGATAGTTTGGAGTAACACATTAATCGTCGTTTCCCTATTTTTGGAACACTATTAAGTAAAAAAAAAACATACTAAATAGTCCACTTTAAAGATATGCTTCACTTGTCACACACAAAGGTTTAAGTAAAAAATCCCTAACAAACGTTTTGCATGAAAAAATTGAATAATCTACTCTTTCCCAATGGAACAATAAGGGCTTGATGGGATGCATATAGTCAATAATTTACCTCCAATCATTTCGTCAATGTGAGATCTTGCGGCTTCCAAACGAAGTAAGCTTTTAGGAGTAAAAATTATCAGCTGTGAATAGAAATATTTAATGATTAGGAAGGAACATCAGCAATAGAGCTAATCATCACGCTCAGTCCACAACAGCTAATTCAAAAGCTTTTATTTCTGATTGAACATTTGGAATTGCATTGTTAGTTTTAAAACTAGAAACTAGCTGGAAAGCATGATGTACTTTACCTAAGCACAAACTGAAAAACCTGGAAAGAACTGAAAAAATCTACTTACTGGCTTGCGCACATCCATAGCCATTTGTCTTCTAAGCACATGGTAATAGTTTGCAGGAGTACTGCAATTCACCACCTGGATCATTATAAAAGAAAAACAAGTTAACCCACACTCTATTCATTTGAATGAACTCTTGCTAACAAACCCTGCTTACAGGGTTTTGAACTTATTTTGAACTCTGTTGACTTGCACCAGGTTTCGGAGACTCTCTTCATTGCTTCTAGGTTGGTTTCTTTTTGTTATCGTCGATAACGAAACAAAACCTACAACCTAGAATCACCGGAGCAGGAGAGGCTCTGTCACCCTGTGCTGACAATGATTATTTACATATGAATTACAATACGTTACAAGCTTAGTAAGTGACAAGCAAAATGCAGCATGCAACAAAACCTTAACCAAGCTTTTTTGGAGAAAGCTACAGTTAAATATGTAAAGTATAAATATGAGTATATGAGTAACAATATAATATTACCTGCCAATTTGCACTGTGGAGCTGGTTCACTTCGAACAATTCTCCTTCAGGCTAAAAGATTTAAAAAAGATGTGTCAATTTTGAAACGTGTGCACAACAGCTGCATGCCAAGTGTGGCCAGAATATTAAGTTTAGATCTAGTTAAGTTAAGATCTACTTTGAGATAAGTATGTAGATTTTATTGGACTATACTTACTGGGAAGTAATCTGGATCATCATTACTCATTTGCAGGAATCTTTCTGGCCTTGCACTAGAGTGTTCAGGTCCCTAACATTGACCACAAAATTAGAGAACACTTTTTAAAAACAATTGCTCTGGTTCTAAGCATGATTATTTATAAGTACCCATCTTACCATTCCTTCATAGCCATGCGGTAACAGTAAAACCAATCCTGTCTGTCTGACCCACTTGTCTTGGCCGCTACTGATGAACTGGTCAATAATGCACTGAAAAAGAAGAATACATTTTGGGGAATGATATAAGTAACCTGATCATTGTGTACTAAAAAAGATATACTTAACCAACATTTTGGAAGTAAGAGCCCTGACAAATGCCCTACAGTTTATAATCCATTATTTGTTGGGTCAAATGTTGTGACCGTCTGTTATGGTCTGTCAACAATGTTGGAATGTGATTTTTGATAAACTTAGATGAAACCTGGGCTGGTATGCCAGTTTTTCATGACACAGCAATGTGCAAAGAAATGTAGGGTAAATGTTGGGTCAAATGTTGGGCTGACTGTCTGGGCCATAAGCCTTTTGTCAAAGTAAAGAAGTAAAGTGCAAGGCAAAATAGAAAAATCTTTTCCTATATAATTTCCCTAGGGTCCAGGATTCACAGATTCACTTATTACCTGTGCAGTGTTCATGAAGTCACCAAACTGGGCTTCCCAACAGATCAAGGCATAAGGATTTGTCATGCTGAATCCAAGCTCAAAGCCTAAAAAGATTCAAAACAGAAACAAGATTCATACAAGAATATTGGATTCAGGCTAAGCACTTGATTATGACACTTGATTAAAATGCAGTGAACCATGACCACAGCTTTGAGAAAGGGTGCATTCTTACAGCAAGCGCCCCTTGCACTTCCCTAAAGTAAGAACATCTAAATTTGTCTCTTACTGTTAGTAAGACTTACCGAGTACTGCATACTCTGACAGTGAGCTGTTGCATACAGTATAAATAGCTTGCTCTTCACTCAAGTCATTCAAAGGACAGTACAGCAGTTTATCCTTTAATTGGCAGTGAAGAATGTGGTGACGATGACTGCAAAAAGAAATCATTTATTCTGTTAATAAGAAGACTCATCAGTCATACAATGCAACCCTGACATTAGTGTCATAGAATATTGATTGCACTTGTATGTTAAGTTTGTGCAACCTGACCCCTGCCTTCATCTCCATGACTGGTAAACATCAAATTCACTCTGGTCAGGATACACTAACATTAGTTAATAATATAAAAAATATTAATATAAATATAATAATATATAATATATACACATCTGATTGGATTTACCACTCCATGGTGGACAGAACTTGGCATAACAGGTTTAAATTAATAATCACCCGATAAGGCTGATAAATCGATAATCAAATTAGAAGTTTTGTTTTTTTCAGAGGGAGGAAAAACCAGAGAATTTTTCTCGAGAAAAAAACCTTGAAACGCAGGAGTGAACCAAGAAGCATCTCTACTCACATAAGACACAGACATAGTTATTTAGTACCTCGATGTTTACATTAATCAAAAATATTAAAGAGAGATTGGTACAAGGTACAAGCTATCTAAAATAACTAAAAAGTTAATCTAGTTAGACAGCTATACATTTAACATTTACATATAGGTATAAATGGAATTTATATAAATATAGTAAGAGGAAAAAAAGAAAAGAGTGAAGAAAAAAAAAGAAAAAAGAAACTAAAGAAAAACCATAGGGAGAAACCAAACGCGGGAATCAAACCTGTGTTGCATTAGTGGGAGGCAGACCATTAGCAGCGCGTACCACCCGTGCAAATTTGTAATATCTTACCATTGCTGCTTAACAAATATTTCCTCTTTTACTCTGACGAAGGACTAGCGTCCGAAACGTCACTTCCGTCACGTCACACAAGTTTTTTCATTTTTTCACGGTGTATAATTTTATACCCTTTTATCATTACTGTTTCATTAGGAACACCAACGCAGCTCACACTAGTTTTTAGCTAGTTATCTTTAAATATTTCTCATGGTCAGATGTTTATAATTGTTTGAGTTATGGTTGAATGACTGACTTGATACCTGAATGTTCCTCTCTCCACATCCTGTCCACTGAGCCTGACATGTATGCCATCCAGCAGCAATGATCCAAATGCTAAAGCCTCTCCCATAGCCCAGTCAACATAACCCTTCTCAAGGAGCTCAGCACGGCCTCTCAAAATACGCTTCAGACCTAAAACGCATCAGTAATTGTCAAGTTTTCTCAAAGAGCCATGATCCAAGCTGTACATTTGGTCTCCCTCTTATTTCCTTAATCATTCTCTATCTAGTTATGAAAATGTTTCTCGTTTGATGTATACTGCTGCCACATTCCAAATTCCTTGGCACAAGTTTAGCCTCACCTACATATATATATATATAGCTGACCAAACTATCCACAATAATGCAGAGAATGAGTAGCTTGGACAAAAGCGATGTTTGATAATACTACAGATTTTTAATGGAATCTGTGAATAGCTACCTTATGAATGAGGCTAAACCTGTGAATTTACGTAATAATGCAATGCTTCCAATTCTGTAACACTAGTCATTTAGCCCTTTATCAAATCCCCAGCCTGGGAGTTAGGTGATGATATAAAACCTTTTTAAGTGTCTGTTGTCATTAAAAGCAGCACCTAGCATGAATGACAAAGGTGACAACTGTGCTTTCATAGAATACAGAATGACCAAAAATCAAAGAAAAAAGCTCACATACCTCCATGGGTCTTGAAGTCTCCCTCAGGTGGAGTACTCATTACCTTACCAATGTGTTTGAGCTTATCAAGACTGATTCCTGTTGGCTTGATTGGTGTCATCTCGTAGTTCTTGGGAAAGAATCCTTACCGACAAAATTTATTCGTAAGTACAATTAAAGAAACACAATTTTTACACCGGTCCCATTCTATGTGGAAAATGCAAATTTCACTTATAAAATTTATAACGATGATACATTGAGTGCAATTCCCAAAATTTTGCAGAAAAAAAATTGGAATATTTGAAATTTTGTTATAATAATATGCATTTTTTGTCATTGTTGAAAGACAGTGCTTGTATTGCTACTGTTTTTGCAATACAGTGTGTATAATTAATTATAATTATAATGTCTATCAGATGAATGATCTGGTTTACTAACCCTTCCAAGGCGAGTCCAACCAGTCCTTGTTTCTCAGTTGCTTTCTATCAGACTTGGCCTCAAAGTAAGCCTCTTCACAGATCTTTTCATATTTTGCAATTTCTTCCTGCATTCATATTATGAACATTATAATTAGTGAGTGAACTGAGCAAAGTTAATAAAGAAAAAAATATTTTTCAAACCAGCAAATAACCTGAACTTCTTCTTTAGTAACTACTCCTTCTTCAATGAGTTTTTTGGAGTACAAGTTTAGTACTTGCTCTTGCTTTGCAATACGATGGTACATTAGTGGCTGAGTGAACATGGGGTTGTCACCTTCATTATGACCGTTCCTTCTGTAACATACCTATATTGCACAGACAGACAAAAAATAAACATACAAGCATCAAAACATTCAGCTTTTTCTTTCAACCAAAAGTTGACACTAAGTCAGGCAGATAGTCTTGAGAATGACATGCAGTCTGAATTTATTGGTGGCAATAAAAGGACAGAAGAAGTGTCTGCCACATTGGTTGGCATGACAAAAGACAGCAAGACCAAATTTTTTGTCAAAGTCAACCAAAATTTTGGCTTTGATGTCAAGAAATTATACCTTTCTGGAATTCACTTGAGTGTGCCTCATGAGTAAAAACTTGGAGCCATGGTTTTCATTCAGGAAAAAAGCTCTATTTAATTTAATTTTTAGTAAATATATATCATAATTAATTACCAAGTCAATAACCACATCTTTGTTGAATTCTGCCCTCCATTCTGCAGCCACTTTACAGACATGAACAACAGCCTCTGGGTCATCAGCATTGACATGGAAAATAGGAGCATCTACCACCTGAAAATGATAATTGAAGGGTTTCTTTAAATGTTGGCCAGGATATAATCAAGAGAAATGTAAAATGTTTTGCATCATGGCTTACAGTGAAATGGGATGTTCCACATTATTATTATTTTTCTTGTGCAACTTTGATTATTAACAATGGTATGATTCAACAAGCAACTTGCTCGTGCTTGTTGCAACTTGCTTGCGCTTGTGGCAACTTGCTCGCACTTATTCAAACTATTGTAAAATGTTTTGCACCATGCTTACAGTGAAATGGTATGTTCCTTATTATTATTTTTCTTGTGCAACTTTGATTATCAACAATGGTACAATTCAACAAGCAACTTGCTCATGCTTGTGGCAACTTGCTCAGAGGAACTGAGCAATTGACATTCCAGTAATTTAATGCAATGTTGCAACAGCATTAGGAAAGCAACATCCAGTTTGACTGTAATCTATAAACAATGTCAGTAATAAAATCTATAACAATAATTACCACATGCTTTCATTAAAAATAAAAAGATCTAAGTTAACTTCTACAACGAAGAGATTCATTTATTCATTCATTTAGCATGTACATAAGCATTCCTTGCATGCATCCTTCTGCATACAAGTTTACTGCACATACACCTTGTTATTACATAGAAGTCCCAGGTGTCAGCCCTACGTGCCACACAGGCATAAAGGTTAATGATGAAATGTACTGTACATCGTGATGATGTCAAATATTTTGATGGACATAAAATATCAAGAAAACAAGTTTTCTACTTTTTCATAAACTTATAGGTTAGACTAAAACAAAGTCAGCAATTATCATTGTTTGCTTATTCTAATATTCTAGTATGATGAAGTTTCATCATGTACAATATTTTTTTTTTATCTCACAAGGGACCTTTTGCCAATGACAGTCCTAAATACTCATTATTTTGAGCTAATGAACTTGTTTTTATGTGACTAACCTTTGCAACATCAGTACAGTAAGGTGATGAGCGAGCATATCTTGGGTCAGTTGTGAAGCCAATCTAAGATGAAACAACTAATAGTGTAAACAAAGGAATATATGGTATCCTATTATAATGCAGACTGCAACATTACATGGCTATATATCTCTTTTTTGCAGCACAGTAATATATTCTCACTGAATACTCATTATCACAGTAATATTAAGCTATGGGGCCAGATCAGCGAATATTGTGATAATGAGCAAGGAAACTATAGGAACGAGAACACTACCACCCACCAGGCCTTGGGGAGGGGAGTGAAGCAAAATTCAGCTTCTGAGGCATGTGTGCTCCGTGCTAATTAATTTTTGAGTGAGAATAGTTATATTTCAGATCAAGTATTGTTCTATTGAGAATAAGATTCTTGGTCTGAGAACGCTGCATCCATGTTCTTGTGCCTTCTCATGCAGAACTGTTAAACAAAGAAATAATACTCTAAGGAAAGACACATGGTCTGAAATGGGGAAACATTAAATGCCCAAAGTAAAGAGGTCTATTACACTACATACCTGGTTATTGACCACAATGTGTATAGTACCATTGGTAGTATAATGTGGTAAGGCACTGAGATGGAATGTCTCGTATACAACACCCTGACCAGAGAAGGCAGCATCCCCATGCAGCAATATGCTCATCACCTTCAAATAATAACAAAACATTACTGCTTTAAGCTACAATACAGCATATTGCAAGGGATGGTTGCAGTGGTAGTTTCTAGCTCTGTTCAGTACCCTTTGTTTTGTAAGAGCCTTTGCAGTATGCATGAATGCAGCTGCTTTGATGCAAGAGGTCCATTTCCATGTTGCTACTTATTATCATGGTACTGTATTTGGCCAAACAATGGGATTAAAATACCAATGCTAGGGTAACCTGGGGGACCATGAGTATTACCTGACCTAAGAACAAAGTAATACTTAAAGAATAAGATATGCATTATAATGCAATGGACTGCATGATGACTATTCCCATATCTGTAATTACAGACAAACATCTACAGCTGCCTTCCTCAGGGAAAGCCCACTTTGGGGACATGGCTGCTAAAGATTCTACTGTATATTATCAAAGTTGTATAATTTATGTCTATCAAAAATAATGATACTAATATCCCCAGACTATGTAATACCTTTTTTCCTTGAGCATCACCTCTGTAGAATTGCTCAGCTCTTGTCTTTCCTTGCACCACAGGGTCAACAGCTATCACAACAAGATACAAGAACTTGTCTCAAAGTGTCTTCACATACACATATGGGAGAAGATTAAGGTGAGGTCCATGTGGCCCTCCCTCCTTTTTTGTGAGACATTTTTTTCGAAAAATGTTGCCTTTGCTCTGCCCTATTACCTGGTAAGACTATAAAGGTTGTTGCTTTGTCAAGCAAGCCTAAATTATTGGCCCCCATTTCAGAATTTTTTCTGGATTTGCTCCTGATTTATAACCATTTTTCATATGGCACAGTACTGTGTACTAAAAAAATGAGGGGTTTTATTCTCACGGTCTCGAGAAAATCTTACAAGCCCCAAAGTAATGACATTATTAACTCTACCTTCAAGATGAGATGGATTAGCAACAACTGCCATTCTAATGATTTTGTTGGTAGCTCTGTTTAGTCGTTCATGCGACATGCCGAGATGGTATTTCACATCACCTGAGCCCTGTGTCAAAACATCAATCAAACTGTAAAAAGCTGGTGAAAATAAAACTGGGACTGATTATAATAAAAGCAATGATTATCACTGCCTCTTTTTTTTTTCATTAATTTTTTCAAGTTCCGATTCCTTCATCCTGTTATATACTTTGGACACTTGTTTTTGTTCTGGCAATGTACAATATTTTAAGGTACTGTTTTTGTGACTGACTAATGAGACCTGGACAAAGGTCACTTCAGCAGCGACCTCACACAATGTGCCCAGGATGCTGCAGGCAGTCAGGTGGCCTCGTCTGACCTATCTTATCTTATCTTGACTGTATTTTAGTTTAGTTTAGTTTATTGGAATTTGCCACGAACATAATACCAATTAAATGCACAACATACAAAGCTAAGGGCGGCCGGAGAAGAAAACAGGGCGATAGCCCCAATTGAAATTCAACTCCAATTGAAATTAAGGCCCAGCTTACTGTACTGCTTATCTAATTCATTTTAACAGGCACTACATTCGCATCAAAAAGAGGACATTGAAAGAGGAGTTTTACCTCATCTGAGGCCTCCAAGGTAGGATCAAACTGAGTAAAAATCTGTTCAAGGGGTTTGCGGCAGACATTAGCAAGAACATCAAGTCTTCCTCTATGTGGCATTCCCATGACTACACTTTCTACACCAAGTTCACTGGATAAATCAATGATTGTTTTCATGGCAGGCACCAAAACTTCACATCCTTCAAGTCCAAAGCGCTTCTCTGACGACCACTTTCTGGCCAGAAAGGCTTCAAATCTAAAATGAATAAAACATCTCAACTTATGAATGAAATAAGTTGAATAAAATGAAATAATTAACTTTGAAAGGAAAGGTGTTGCATCCCGATACATGTCATATGGTAATATTGTGTAAAAGTTTTAGTGTCTTTTTGACTTCTTTTTCACAAGTTAGTATGATTATCATTATAATAATAACTTCTTTGTTTTAGAGAGGGTGACATGTGACAGTAGCCAACTGAGCACTGATAAATTTGTGGCCCTCTATGTTTAACGTCTCGAACCATTTGCAGCAATCTTTAGAGCAAAGGCAGCACCTTCTACTCAGATATTTTAAGACCCTGAGTGTGAGTCAGGCCATGGAGGCTTGAACCCACGATCTCCCGCACAACAGACCAGTGCCCAACCAAATGAGCTTATATAACCAGGACGCAGTTAGTATAAGATTAATTGACATAAGGCTAACTGCGTTTAGCAAATTAAAATAAATAATCTGGTGACAACTCTTATTGATGAAAATATGTTTTGAAAATAAAAATAAGTTCTTTGTAAAAGTTAAGAGATGAGCTGTTGCAAAATACTGTAAAGCTGTTGCAAGCAGAATTCGAGTGTTGAAAAGGTTATTATTTTGAATCCTGAATCCTGAACATTCTATTCTAAGAAAGAATAATATAACTATTAATAGAATCTGGGGGCGGGGTAATTTACATATAGATCAAACACATAGCACAGTAAAATTAAGCAAACCTTCAGAGAGTGACTATCTTAGAGTAAGTCTTCCACCACCGACACCAGACATTTAGATGGGAAAGGGGTTTAATGTAATGTTGAATTAAAGTAAACACCAAAGTCTTACCCAGTTGACCTAACAATCCTGGCCAATAGAGTTCTCTTCTCTTCTTTTGACAAGGCATTCATACCAGGAGTTTCAAATTTTTTCCTGATCCAGTCACCTAGGAAAAAATATGAGTCAAATATTGGAGGAGGATGAGTAAAATATTATGATTTGTTAGTGGAGAGCAAATAATTATTGCTTGTGAAGACACTAACAAATCAGGATATTTTTGTGATAACTGAGTTTGATAATTGTTTTATTATTCAAATTATTTTTTTCCATTTTCTTTTTGCGCCGTGGCTTTTTTTATTGTCTATCAAGCATACAAAGTCACAGGACAGCGAACCTTGTTGACAAATGCATTGTGGCCGCACAGGAGCAGAGTATTGTTTGTAGGTAGTTGATAATTTATTATAATTGCATCATATCCATCCAACTATGCTTATCTTAACCTAGCAAAACAAGAAACCTGTAGGCTCCTTACTGGCTAGTTTGTGTCAACAACTAAGATGGCTATGTTTAAGTTCATTTTCTTACTCATCATTTTATTTACTCACTGACTAACTCATTCATTTACCAATTAGTGCTAAACAAATAATGGCTTGTCAATGGACAATGGACAATGTCTGCCAGTGGACAAAATATATACTTGTCGCATGGTCTCCTTGGGCTGGTTCTCATCACCAGACAAATATTGACTGTTCATTTCTTGATCTGTCCAATGTGGCTAGTCATCATGTCTGATCTGTCCACTGAACAGCCAATATAACATTTTAATTTAGTCATTAATCTCTATTCACTCACATTTGTATTTCTCAGGGATAAACATGAAGTCCAAACCAATGTGGTTACAGTAGGTATCCTGTCAATGAAGATCAGATTAGAAAAGAATGAAAATGTAAAAATAATGAAAAATATCAGAGAAAAAAACATCCATTTTAATTAACATCAATATAAATATATGGATTATTAGCATAATATTAAAAAAAATATAGAGTTTAGCATGCTGTGATTGGTCACGCTTAGCCTTGTCTATAAGTCAGCTATTCACAGATTCCATCAAAAGGCCATGGGATTTCAAAACATTGGTATCGTAGAACTTGCACATTCTTTACATTACAGTTGACTTTTGCTAATGATTTGCTCTTAAGCGAGGCTAAGCCTGCACAAATGAGTCTGTAGTCATAAAACACAGCGGTATTTATGGAATGAGGGAAGGGACTGTTGTCTTCTAAGAATACTGGTCGCTTGACCAATCACAGCATGTGAAACTCTATATTAGTCTAAAATATTATGCTAATATCCATATATTTATATTGCCATATATGTACATACTGTACCTCAAGTTTGTTAACAATTTCTCCCAATGTCATGGCTTGTATGTTTTCCCCTCCAATGAATGTTGTGTTTGGCAGTTGGAAAACCTTATTCAGATCTTGTGATCCTAAACACAAAGGCCAATCATTAATCTTATGGTCATCATAACTCAACATGCCAAAAGAAACATGCCAATATCACAGAAAACCCATAAAAGGCAGGAAAATGGTGAAAACATAGAATCTTACCCAAGCCCCAGTATTCCATTTGTAAATCTACTGGGACATCTTCACTCAAGCCAGCCTGTAGAATACCTAGAGGATCAAGCTTTGCCTTTCTGTGACCTCGAGTCTAAACAACAGATGAGAAGAGAGTTTTTAATGCAAAATTCCTTGAATTGAACATTATTGCCCTTTGATTTTCTAAAGCCAGTTGAATTGCTTCTCACATTAGTACAACTCACATTCCTACCATTTTGCTATGCATTGTCATGGATAGTCTAATGCACATTAACCTATTGCATTTATCAACATATAGAATTAAGAATTCCACTCTATATCATATCTTTACATGCAGGTTCTGATACTGTCACTGAAAACCTAAAATTCTTAAAAAATAATTTTGTGAAGTCATCACTTTTTCACTCTATTAAACCTGGTAATAAGAATGTAAATACAAACCTGATATGACCTGATTAATGAATACACTGCAAGGTGATCGTTTACAAGGGAATTAATTTTTGATTGATCCACGGCAGATGGTACTGATACAGTCGAGGCCAAAGCACCAGTCTGTTGTCCCAATACAGGAGGGGGTTGATAGGCTTGACCCGGTGGCATACCTCCTTTGACATTTCTGAAGTATGCATCCCAAGACTAAAAGATGGAAATAATCAGAAATAATATTAGAAATCAAAAAAAAAAAAAAAAAAAANAAAAAAAAAAAAAAAAAAAAAAAAAAAAAGAGCATAGAAAATTACACAATCTTGAGTACAATTTGGAATTGATCTAGGTACGAGTGAACAATATGAAAATTTTGAAAACTATTTTGTGATAACTAAGTTCAAAAATTGTTTTATCATTCAAATTATTTTTTCAGTTTTCTTTTTGTGCTTTGTTTTTTTTTTTGCTATATATCTTCAAACATACCAAGTCACAACATTATTGTGCACGACAATTTTTTCTATCTGCTATCATGCTGAGCTAATCAATAGGTATCTAAGTGGAATCTTAAGTTCCTTTTATTAGAGTGGTGAGCCTTTGGTTGTCCTGTCGAAACCACCGTTCAGAAAAAAAACCATCTTTTTATATTTTTCTTCGATAGGGCAAGTTTTTTTGTACTAAGGTAATGTATATAGATAGTTCACAAATGAACACATAGTTTCTGTATCGATCAGTGAACGGACTTGAGTATTTTCGAAGTGTTTACATAAATTTCACGTTGGACAAAGCGAAAGCGGTGATTGGACTTTGACCTATAAAACTGCGTGGAAATGCCAAAAAATCGCCAAAATAAATGCTTGTTCAACCATAGCAGCCGCAATCGTAGTATCAGACTTTTTTCTTTCAAATCTAGGAATGGATTTCCTGAAAGTCTAATTAAAAATGTAAATTTGCAACAAGAGTATGTTTGCAGCCTTTGAATATACCAAAGCATGGTGTGACCGGGGGCGTGACGTTGACCAAACATCTACGTTAAAAATATCTGAAAAATTTGCTGTTAACACCTCGATATTTCTCCATGGCTAAGAATATCTAGAATTTCAGTGAATCTCGATAATATTTGAGGTAATGTCGATAATATTTGAGGTAATGTCGATTTTTTTAGAACAGAAAACGTCTAATAGAAGGATGTACGCAACGAAGTTTAATGTCAACAAAGGAATGGAATCTGCAAATAAAAGTGTGGAAAAAAGGACCGGAAAATAAGTATTTTGCTCAAAGAATCACACCAGAAGCTTACTTTATGAACACTCTTTGGATTTTCAAGCCAAGATGCGTACATATCCTCCACGTAATTGCTGCTGTTTCCATTCAAAAACGGTTCTTTGGCCACAACTGCTGCCGTTTGTTGAGGCCTAATGGCCATCAATCCTTTGCCCCATGTAGATCTCAAACATCCTTTTAGAATATTTCTATACGTCCTTATCGCATACATTTTGAGTATCTATCAGTGTTTAGTCCTCTGTAAGATTTGTTCAATAATCCACAAATAAGTCCTGAGTTCCAAAAATAAAGGTTTGAGAATCGTGGCCTGCATAAAATTGCCGGGAAACAATTTGGGAAGTAGAATCTGGCAGCCCTCCAGGGTGATTTACAAATGCAATGATTTCCAATGAATCCCTCTTCTTCAGACACCAGTGATAATGAAATTGAATCCTTGTTGATAAACAGTCCAGGAGTACATCCAATACGAAGTTAATGTATTGTATTATTGCATCTGTAATCTATACACCACAGTCTTGATCGAACGAATGCTTAGGAAAGAAACGTAYAGATTATTATAGGATGCCGTTAATGACGTAATAAAGACAATAAAGACATACGTCATGCTCGTACGTGACACTCGAGATCGAGTTCCGCTTTTCCAGGAATTTAGCTTTAAATATTTTTCATACAAATTAAAAAACAGTTATCTAGCCTTTACACACACGAAAAAGGAGCAAATAAAGTATTTATTTAGAGGACTGGTTTTATGATTTAAAGTTTTAGGGATCTTACGACGCTAAATTACTGAATTTTACGACATATTATTGATTGGTTTACGGACATATATCGATTGAATATAAACTGAAGTTCTTCCCAGTCTCTCATCGGGGTGCTTTACAAAATGGCGGTTCTTCTTATTTTGGGAAAGTTCTAGTTTTCTTTTAAAATAAAGCCGATAAAATCCTCCAGTTTCCACAGCTGGTGCTAAGTATTTGAACATGAGCAAAAGAAAAGCCCCAGATCAAAATCCCAACTCGGACTTTTGCGATTTTCTAACAGGTAAAATTTACAGAGTTTTTAAAGTAGTTTTCTGCTGATTTGTTGAAAAGTTGAAAATGATTGTTATGCGATTTTGTTATGCCATATTAAAATAACGTGTGTCTATTTTTAGAGCTTTCTGAATATGAAAAGAATGTCACAAGACAGATACACAAATACAATGCTTACAGGTATTAAACCACATGTTTTGTAAACAATTGATAATATAATACTGCTTTCGTTGCTCTTGCAAAGCTTTTATCAATTCCCAGTGGATTTCAATTAGTTGGAAAGCTATTGCTAGTCTCCAGATAATATATCTCCAGAGACTTCCTGTCCTAGCTTGTAAAGGGCTTATTATACAACTGTATGTTGGTCAGATAAGATATTGATCGACTGGTTAATATAATAATCGAGTACCGAAGTGATGACGTCACAAAATATTATTTTCACAGTATCATAATTTTAAAATTGCCATATCTCTGTTGCTTTTTAACCAATATTCTTAAAATTTGGCTTTTTAGCGTCTTCCTTGATGTTCTATTGAAATTGCAGATCGAAAATTGTCAAAAGCAAAATTTTGTTTTCCGTGAAGTCACACTTCGGTACTTTTAAAGCATGCATTCTTATTTAAAATATTTCGAAGTGATATTAAACTTTTTAAGAGAGAGAAACTATATTTGAAAATATGTTATCCAGAAAAGCAGCCACAGTTCTTTCAAAACACYCAACAAGAATAAAAAATGGAGAAGAAGCGAAAAAACTGGTAGGATTAATGATTAATGATTATCATTTATATTTTGAATGTACTTCACAATTAACATAGGTGGAATACCACAGGAAGCTTCACTGAAGCTTATTATGACTTTTGACATTATAGTATTTATAGATAAGTAAAGAGTTTATTCCAAATAAGGTTTTTTCCTTTGATAATGTGATTTTTTTTGTCTGAGTTGTATCCATATTCATTTACATAGACAAAGAAATAATACTCAAGGGAATGACACATGGTTTGAAATGAGAATTAAGTGCCTGAAATCTGGAAATTAAGAATTATTATTTCTTATAACATCATAATTATGTCTTTTTTCCCCATAAACATAATTTGTATCCTTGACAATAACTAATTGGATAACATTAAATTATGCATAAGCTATCTCCCACATCCAATCAAATTATTTACCTTTATTTTTTTCATATGACAGCCAGGAATTGGAGCACAAATAGCCAAGAAGATTGATGAATTTATTACAACTGGAAAACTAGCCAAGTTAGAAAAGGTAAAACTGCTCATTTTATATTGATCTTGGTTACATTTGAAAAAACTATATAACGGGCTTCCTGTGTTAAATTTGACTAAGCCCCTCTCACCTCCCCTCCCCTCCCCCCCCCAAAATATATTAATTTAATTTTTCATTTTTTAACTTTCAGATAAGAGCAGAAGAAAGTACAAGTGTCACAAAAGAACTAACCCGTGTGTCTGGAATAGGGTAATCTATTTATTTGTGCTGATAATCCTTATAGTAAAAAGAAATGATATTCATCAATTTTTTTTTTTTTGAATAATTTTGTAGGCCTGCTGCAGCCAAAAAATTCATTGATGATGGAATTAAGAGTGTTGAAGGTAGTTTATGAAATAATTGGGATAGTACACACGCTGCGATTGGTCAAAAACCATGTTTGATTAGCGTACCAAAACATGCTCACGTCATCCTTTACAAATACATCAGAATAATACGATTTTTTTCGTTTTTTGACGTGTTTGTTATTTTATAAAACAGATCAAAAACAGTTTTCTGTGTTTGATACTCTGAACAAAACACTTGGGATATGTCAAGAGGACACCCTAGAAAAGCTGGAAACCATTCCGCTACGTGTCATGGTTTCCTACGCTCCTCTCGTGTTTTTTCAAAATCTTGAGTGTTTTGATTAGAGTGTCAAACACAGAAAATTGTTTTTGATCTGTCAAAAAATACATTTGAATGAGGTTCAGTTGCATTGGGAAAAATATATAATTTATTCATTGATCTAATATTTGTCTAAACCTACTTCAATCTGTATCATATAGTCAGTCAAACCTATGACAAATCTATTAGTGAAAGACCACTAGTAGCGAGAAGTGTCGGTTTAAAAACCAAAACAATGGCAGCTAACTTGCATTTTCAACCTAATTTCAAAATATTGTTTGCATGACCATGCATTTATTTGACGGTTTAGTAGGTTAATGCAAAAATGATTCATGGGTTTATAGTTCATGGGTTTATAGCTCGAGCATTCACATTATAATTAAAACACTATTAAATTGCCTTCCTTTTTTTAGACTTGAAGAAAATAAAAGGAATGTTGAATCATCACCAGCAAATAGGCTTAAAGTTAGTATAGCATATTGGTTGTAATACCATGTGCAGTTGCATTGAGATACATATGACATTTCATTAAATATTGTTTCTAACATGCCTCTAATATTTATTATTTATTTTACAGTTAAGCACCATGAATTTTGATATGTGCGCTATATGAGTTCCATTATTATTATTATTGTTATTATTAACTCACTTATGATCCAGTCTGAGCCAGGGTTCAAACTCATACCACAGTGGTGAGAGGCAAGCGATAAACCACTCAACACCCATGCCATCTTCAGGCCCTGCTAATTGACCAATCACAGAGGGTGTTTTAATAGTTACTTTGTTAAACATTTAAAATAATCTTTTTAAGTGGTCACTTACCTGAGGGATACATTAAATTTTGTATTTCATTAAAGATATGTTGAAGAGTTTGAAAAACGAATTCCCAGAGATGAAATGGTAAAATTAAAGGTAAAATCCTATTTTTGGTCAATAATTTAATTTTTTAATTTATTTTTTCAAATAATTATGCATGCCATATCTGTCATTCCATCTATCCATTAACAAACTGATTGAGTAAATCTTTTTAACACGTAGGATGTAGTTATGGGTCACATTGAAAAGTATGATAAAAAGCTCAATGCAACTGTATGTGGAAGCTTTCGCAGAGGTATCCTACCAATCGATATAATCATGATTTATTATAGTTTCTATTATAATCCATGTTAACAAAATAAACATTCATTGTTTTGTAAATGCAATATTAATTACATACAATGTTGTATATTTGCTGATAAATAGGTTTTGTTTGACAGACCTGTCATTTAAATCAAAATAATAAGTATGAATATCAATTATTGATGTTGATTCATTCTGAATGTATCATTGTCTTTTAGGAGCTGCATCAAGTGGTGACATTGATATTCTTCTTACTCATCCCTCATTCACATCCACCTCAAAAACTTTTGATAAGGTAAAAAAGGACAAATTTCTGAAAAGGACACTGCTATAAGCAGATTCCTAAATAAAGTTAGTCGTATCACCAAGGGATGTCAATCTGAAACTAAGTAAAGTGTTTCCTTGGCATTATCAATAAGCACAATGTTTCAAGTTTATCGTCTAATGATTGTCACTTGGAAACTTTTGATTGACTTCAACCAAGTATTTACCATCTTTAATGTTTAGGAAGTAGAGTTTAGTTAAGTCAAAACTTATTCAATTTCATGTTTGGTTTTAGAAAAGCTTACTACAAAACTTGATCAAACAATTGGAAAAGGCCAAGTTTGTAACTGATACAATTTCAATGGGTGAGACAAAATTCATGGTGAGTTAGAACTTTTAGAGCTTTGTGTGTTTGCATGTGGCTATTAACTCCTGGGTGGATGGCTCAGTCCATAGACCAAATTAGAATTTAGAAGTGGATTTTTGTGGAGGGAGGAAAAATCGGAGAACCAGGAGAAAAACCCTTGAAGCACAGGAGAGAACCAACMAACAACTCTACTCACATACAACATGCAAGCCTGCCTTGGTGATATAGGCAGCGCATTATCAGCACATGCCACTATGCTTCCAAGCACAGGGTTGCTTGTGTTTGTCCATTTGTGAATGAAGCATCTTAGATTTTCCAATAATTTTTTCTTAGGGGGTTTGTATCCTCCCAGCTGGTCCTAAAGAAAAAGCCAATCTCCACAGGCGTATTGATATCAGGTAATTATTATCAGAGCTGCTTTACCCACACCTCCCCCCTACAGGGAAAGGAGGAGGAAGTTCTAGAAGTGAATGTCACACAGGCCATTATTTAATGATGATTTCATTCAGTAATCCTCAGGTTAAGGAGCTCACTAGTGGTATGCCAATGGAATACCATGCCAGTAATGAATAGAATGCGCTATTCCTTATGTGCAGAATAATAAATAACCTACATAACATGTATTAGTTTTTTTCCTATTTTGTTTAAGATTGATTCCTCATGATCAGTACTACTGTGGTATCCTGTATTTCACTGGAAGTGATGTGTTCAATAAAAATATGAGGCATGAAGCCTTGGAAAAAGGATTTACACTGAATGAGTACTCTATCAGGTACTAACTCAAGGGCGGATCCAGGGGAGGGTCGGGGGGTCGCGACCCCCCTGTCATTCCTGAGGTCAAATGGGCTTCTTGTGGTAAAAATGCGACTGGGATTCCTTTGCCCACAAAATTTACCCCTGAGACCCCCCTTCAAAAAAAACCCTGGATCCRCCATTGTAACTGCATGACTTTAACTACCATGCCAGCTGTGCTTAAAATAATCGCTGGTCATTGGGACAATTCCCAGCCAGAATTGAAACTTGCCCAGTTTTGGAAATCTTCGCCTTTCCAGACCAGTAACGTAATGTTCTCTATACTCCTTGCAACACACGAAATGTAAAATGTAAAATGCACACCAACTAATAATTTTATACTTTTCTAAACTTTCAGACCTGTTGGAAGCACAGGTATGGCATATTACGATGATATAATTATTCATGTAATTTTATCATTGTAATTTCTATTTATGCAATTTATTTAATTTAATGACTTAGTTAATTTCTGTGCATATGCACATTATAAATATTAAATTAATATTATTATTTATTATTAGAGTGCAAACAATACAATCGCGAAACTTTAGTAATACTAAATAGTACAATGTCATGCAAATTCCGTTGTTTTCTATTGTTTAATTAGCACTATCTTGTACTATTTAGTAATTAGTGTTTCACGGATTAATTATTTGCACTCTATATACTTCTATATAAAATAGTTGATGAAGTTGTTTTTAAGGGTTTCTTTGTAGGCTGGTATCATTATTATAGATGAACTGTTTCAACAACCTTAGATTACAAATTTAATAACCAATCTTTCATGCTAGGGTACAATGTTTGGAGCAACGTTGTTTTTGTCTTACCTATATGTGCGTGCCTTTTTTTCTTATCAACTATTGAAATAAAAATTCTGATTGGAAAATACAAATTAAGATGTTTTTTTAATGCAACAAATTTATGTTGGTCCATTATGCAAAAGACACACTTTCCATTCTTAATCACTATCCTGATTAATGTTTTAACAATTAGTCAACATATATAATAAATTAATAATGCAAAAGAAACAGAAAAAAGTATCAACTCCTTGAATGAATCCTGTGTACTCATAAATACTTCATTTAGTTTCAAGAATGAATACAAACACAAGGTTGCAAAACATACTTCTTAATTAAAGTTGATAAATAATAAATAAAGGATTGTATATGTATTGCAGGTGTACCAGGTGAACCTTTGCCAGTTTCAAGTGAAAAAGACATCTTTGACATCATTGGAATGGAATACAAATCTCCAGAAGATAGAAATCTTTGATTTCATATGTTAAAAAAACGAGACATTTGAATCTTAAAAGACCTTTCAAAATTACTTGCAAAAACGATAATTCGATATTTTGACAGCTTTGAAAAAAAAATTGTCATAAAAAGCATTTCTCTAGCTTGTAAAGCATATATTATTGTAGTATCACCGAAAAACTATTCCGTCTTGTTAAGTTAACCAAGCTTGAATGAGTTAATAAGTGACTTGAAAGTACTTGACAAATTAAAGATATTGAGTAGTGAAATCGACAAACTAATTAACTCGATCGACTATTGTTCAATGCTGCAATCTGATTGGTTGCTGGGCACTTTGCTTGACAACCAAGCAACTTCCAAGGCGACACTGCACGGGTTTTCGCGGACATTTTTTGTACGCAAATGTTCACACAACTTTTAGAGGATTTTTCATCACTTTTTTCACGTCGGAATTCAGAAAAATATTTCAAATATRTAGAACTGGATGTTCTCTTTAACCTGGAAAAATTTAAAGAACTTCTGGGATAAAATAAACACGGAGTTCGAGTTTTGTGTGGACTCGTCTTGAAGCTTTCTGATACTTCTCGTACTAGTAAAATTGTCCTTTCCCGCTATGACATGACTAGAAGAAAAATGAGTGGCCCTTCGTCTGATAGGAAGTAAGTTAAATATTGTCTAAGAATAATAACAAATTACAACTTGCTAAATAACATTGAAGTTTACGTATGGATTGATCTTATTTATCTTTGGTTTCTTTCTTGATTTTGTAATTTTAATTTGTAGGAACTCGCATGGCAAAATAAAAGACAAGAAAAACGCTTTACCGTTCCTCAAACCCATTAGATCCAAGCAGCAATTCAAACAATCTCAGGTAAGAAAAATACATTACGGTAAAAGTTCTATTTTTAACATGAGGTATTTATAATTACCGAGCGAATGTTTCCCGTGGCGAAAGGTCATCAACTCCGTTTTGTTTACTAATTTTGTCGTTAAAGCTCGTCTCTTATCCTATTTGCTCATTGAATTTATTTGAAGAAAGTTTTTATAAAAATGAGAGTTTTTCGGTTTTTTTGGTGCATCGTTCTTTTCTTCTTCCTAAGCTGCATTTTTCCAAAAAAGGAAAATCACGATCTTCGTTTTCATAGCACCTCACTGTTGATCTAATTTCCCCCTAGCGTATTTTTAAGCCAACTCCAGACTATTAGATTTAACTATTAGATTTCCGACATTCTTAAAGTTTAGTTTTTAACTTTAAAGTGAAATTTTTATTTTGTATATGACATATAAGCTTTTTTTTTCAAGTGTCGGTAATTTTGAAAATCTAGCGACAGTATTAAATTTCGAATTAAATAAAGCTTATGTCTTAATAAATTGTCTGTTTTGTGGTAAGGATTTGTATTCCTTATAATCAAACGTTTTATCTAAAATAGATAAACTACAGTACAGTACTTCATGAATCATTTATAAAAACTTTTTTGGCTTCCAATATCATGAAAGACCATCTACTCTTTTGTATCCCTTTCTCGATCTTTTTAACAATAATCCATGCAACTGTGTTAAACTTATATGCTCTTTAATTCTCACATCTTCAAATAATTAATTTTACACAGGATATATATATGTAGATACTTCAATATGATTAAAAAAGACAGACGTAACAATACTATAGAAAAGGCATTTATTAAAGTGTGTAGGAAAAGTCCAATATCTTATTTTGTTTGGTCAAAACATCAGCTTGGCTTTTTAGTTGACTAAAGCTTATGCTATAACGCTGGCTGGGTTTAGAAAGGGTCTATTTTCTTTTGATATTGTTCTTCAAACAAAGCACTTAAAAACCTTTTTCAATAGTCTCTATATTTAGATGCTCTTATAAAGGGATGGCTCGCAATATTCTTTCACACTACCTTACGATTAACACCACTGAGCAAAAGACACTATGTACAAAAACAAAGCTAGATTAAGATTACTAGAAAAACTAATCAACATTTTAACTTTTTTAAGTTCTCTCCAGTTCCATGTCATATACATTGTATAGGTGGTTGCCATAACAACCATGCTATCTATTCTTAAAACTTATTAAGTGCACTTATCAAGGTATAATGGTGTGATTTGCATATGGCATATCTTTTGGCAAGATTTAAAAAGAAAGTACTTGAAAATTGGTAGCAGGTAGATTGGGGTATGATTAAGGGAGTCTTTGGACAAGAATAATTGGGCTAAATTTCAATAAGAAGTGAACAAAAATGGTGGTAATATTCAAATGATATTTATTAAAATAAACAAAACTAAATATTCTAATTAACTAGAATTGTGTACTATCCAAAATTCATTTTAAGAAGAAAAAGAGTTCTGATGAATTTTTGAGAAAGTATCTTAGACATTTTGTACAATTTGTTTTGCATAATTTTCAATGATAGAAAATGAAGCCTGAATTTTCCTTTAATTATGAAATAGAATTTCTGAATCAATTCATATTTTCAAATTTCTACAGAGATAATTGTATCAAATACTTTTCATTAATGATTTATATTTTACAGAGCTTTCAATTTATATTTTGTACTTCCCGGCCTTGGTGATGGACGACATATAAAAAAGTTGAAATAATCATCGCTGTAAAACTATGACATACTACTTTCCAAGACCTGTTTTATTTAATTCTAAATTTTAGAATATTTCATTATTGCTTAAATTATTGTTTTTAGTGAAGCACAAAAAATGCTTTGTTTTAGCAGATTTCTTTAGTGCACACTGCCAAATTTGTGATATCAATGTCATACTTTTTCATAAGCTTATTCTTTTTTGAACTTGCATGTATTTTTGGATGCATAGAAATTTTAATTATGGCTGAAAAGCTTCTATCTTACATTCATTAATTATATATTCTGAATGTCCAGACGGTGTAATGGGTTGAATATCTACCCCACAAACCACAATGTTTGTTGATTGGCTACTAAAGTCATGGATATACCATTCATATATTAACATTTGGCTTTCCCTTTGTTCTTACGCTCAACCTGAAACAACAGCTTCAAACTTGGAGTGTTCCATCTTTCAAGAGTATATATTACCAAATACCACTTGAGTTGCATGAGAATGACATGGATACACCATTCATATATTGGCTTCCCTTTGTTCTCACGCTAAGCCTGAAACAGCAGCTTCAAACTTGATCAAGTGGTTCATCTTTTAAGAGTATATATATTACCAAATACCACTTGATTTGTAAAGGAATAGTAGTCAGTTCAGGTCTTTTGAAAAGACAAAGATATAATTTTTGTGGGACATCATAATGGGGTCAATAGCTGTGGGAAAGGTCCCCTTCCATAATTCTAAAAATGCTGCTAGTTCTAGAAGTGTTTGTAATCACAACATGGTAAGTTCAAGAGAAGCATAAGTTGTGATATTTCCTTTTATATATTTTTGATTTTTTAAAATATATATTTCTATATTTAGCCAAAGCTGTTGCAAAAATGTAGGTTTAAATGTTTGCTACTTTTCAGATCATTTCTTTTTAATTTTGTAGTGTTTATTTGTTCAATATTTAAATGTTTTCTTGATTGATTGCATCTTAAACTTATAAACTTATACTGAGCTTGATTACTATTTTTTTAACACTGCAAAACTATTTAAAAAATACTTTCCAATAATTTTTTTTTTTCCACCCAGAAAATAGTTTCGATTTCAAATCAAAATATTGATATTAATTTGCCCAAAAACCTTCAACCAAAGGATCATAATGTATAAATATGAAAATTGAGATAATAAGACCAAACCTATGTGATTAAAAAGGGTTGCCACAAAAAGCTTGTTAAAATCAGTTCATATTTTTGTCATTCTCATTTCTAGCAGGATAATATTGTAAGGAAGTCTCTGGTAGCCTTCATGGTAATATTTGAGTATGGCAGGTTTTGACAAGTCATTAATAATTTCTTGTTAACTTTACTTTTAAGAGCCCGAGTGACCTACAACCAGGGGGCAGTTTTACTAGCAGTTATATTGCGTAAGTTTGAGCTCAACGTGACATAATGGGGTATTCAGATGCTGTTGCTTTTGAAGATGTTATTGCTGTTGCTGTTGCTTGTGATGATGTTACCTCTTTCTGGTAGTAGTGCTGCATATTCTCTTATTATAGTTATTGTTGCTACTACATCTGTCCTTGGTGTTGTGGTAGCTGCTGCATGATGTTGCATTCTGATGGAAGTGGTGATGCTGCTGCTGTTTCTTTTGGATTTGTATTTGGTGTTGCTGTGACTATTGCCAATGTTACCTGGGCTGTTGTTGACAGTGATGATGATACTTCAGCTGTTGTTTCTCTAGTTGCATTTTCTTTTGGAGGTGTTGTTGATGACGTTGCATGCTGCTAATGGAAGTGGTGTTGCTGCTGCTGATTATCTTGTTGTTGCTGTTTCTTATGGAGGTGTTACTTGAAGCTGTTTCTCTTGTTGCCCCTGCTGTTTTGCTTGTTATGGGGATGTTGCTTATGCAGGTATTGCTGCTGCTGTTAGTAGTAATGTTGCTGCTGCTGTTGGTAGTGATTTTTACTGCTGTTTCTGCTGCCATAAATAATTCAGTTTGGTTCAGAGTTCTAGGTTTGGTTGTTTCTGACTTCTCTTGATGGGACTGGTTGTGACCTGTGCACGTTATTGCAGTTGTGTTGAGAAGGCCTGTTACAGGAACACTATTAAATGTTTGAACGTGTTGCTTTCCGTTTTCAGAAGCAAAAATGATTTGATTGTAAAATACACGGAGGGAAAACATATGACAAGAAGTTTTCAGGTACTATTAAAGAGACACGTAATTTTTGTTGTTGTCGTGTTTTTCTAATACTGCACTTTTGAGTGGAAAGAAAGAAAGACCCGTTGTTGCAATAAAAAGTGAGCCCAAATCATCTAGTTTGTGGTGTTGCAGTGGATTCATGTTATTTGTTTAGGTTCCTTATGCCATTAAATTTTCGCGTTTTAAAAACGTTGTAGAAACTGTCAACGACTTTACCAGGAACATTGCCACATCTTGCCATAGGACCAGACAAGCATCACACCCAGGTTAGTATACATTGATCATTGGTGACGGTAACTATGGTAACCAGAAAACAAATAAAATAAATCAGCATTGTTTTTAGAAGATGACACTTGACAGTAATTAAACTGATAAACTTGTGGTCCTCTTTTAACGTCTCTTAGCTTGTTGAGGGACGGGACCGCCATTAACATGGTCATCAGAACCACATGAAGGTCTAACCATTTGCAGATGAAAATACAGAGGCAGCACCTTCTCCTCAGCTATTTCAAGACCCTGAGTGTTGGTCCGGCCGAGGCTTGAACCACGATCTCCCCGCACAACATACCGATGCCCTTACTAACTTAGCTAACTAGGTGGCGGTTTTTGCACCATCCTATTTCCCTTCCTAAGGCTTTCCAGTAAGACTGCATAATCATGCTGTTATGTTTTATCCTTAGATTGACGATCACAGTAGCAAGGATGCTAAGGTAAGTACTAGGAAGCGACAGGAGATGCTTTGCTCATATAGCAGGTTACTGACTGTGAAGACGGCATGCATTCTTATTGCGTTAACAACACACTATGACACACTATGGCACACTATGAAGTCCCATACTAATTGAAGATCCCTTTTTAATTGGCCCACTGTCAATTTGACTGTGGAATACACGATGCATACGTGCCATACTGTAATCGTGCCCAATGCTTTGGCTGCCCCTTCGCGTAACGGTGACATCCGTGTCGTGCGCCCTATCATAGTCATAGGACATAGACTCTAAAATAGTGTTATCCAGTCCAACATTACCATATTAGCCATTTCAAAGTTGAGGAAAAAACTGGGTCGATTGGCATTGCAGTGAATTGTGGGATTGTTTAAGGAGAAATATTTCCAAGATGGTGTCTATTTCTTTTCTTTTCCTTTAAAGAGCACCAAAATGTACTACAATGTCAACTCGACCCAGTTTTCCCTCAACCTCGGAATGGCTAATAGTGCAACATAAATGTGCGTGAAAAATCCTGACAATTGTGATCTTGTAATCCATCATGATATCCAAGTAGGTGTACGTGTCTTTGCACATTCTGTGATAAATCCTTACAATCCTTGCAAGTAAATAAAGTTATACTTGGTGCTATGTTCAACAATCAAGTTGGTTAATCTTGGTTGTCGTTTGTTTGTTTGTTTGTTTAGACTAAACATTCAGAACAGTTACCTCATCTGCTGAATCAGCAAAACCTTCTTAAGAGCTCGACCACCGGCAACAAACAGGTACGATTTAGTRTTAGAACTAAGGCGGAGTTGTCATTATTTTCCTCTACGGGCCACCCTTCCCCTAGGCGTGGTGAGGGGGGGGGGCATATAACGTTTAGACAAAAGTGTCCTAATATCTGTGTTTACCTTTAACGATCTATGGTTCATACATATGCTGACACTATATCTAATACTTTTGGAAAAAATTTCCATCGATGAATATGTCTTTTTATGAATTACTAATTTGGAATGACGTAGATGTCGTCAGAATCTTCAAAAATCTCTTATTTCTCAATTCCCTTATTTGTTAGTCTTCAGTCGGCTAGAAGAGTTTTTATCGCAAACAACTAGAATTAACATATACTATAATGCGCCCCGGATGATAAGGTCTATCTACAGTGTTCCAGAATTTGAAGTTAAGCAAGAAGACGATTTGATAGTAAAACCTATTGTAGATAACAACAAGTGAATACTAACCCTTTCGTATCCTTTAATCGTATTGTTTCTGTCCATTGATCGGAAGAAAGAGTTAACCTATTAGATAAGGCATCAGATGTTGCGCATGTGGTTGCCATGGGGACTAGTGGGAACCAATGTTTGTACTACCATCAAGTCGTAGGAAAATTAAAATAGACCCCAAGGTGAATAAACCAGTTACATGATCTGATTTTATCTTATGGACCCCTCTCGAAAGTATCGTGGATGTAACATGAAAATACAAAATTGTCACAAATTCCATTAAAAAAGTAATGATAAAAGGGTAAATTTTACACCGTGAAAAGATGAAAAAACTTACTGACCTTTCGGACGCTAGTCCTTCGTCGGAGTAAAAGACTACGACGACGAAGGACCAGCGTCCGAAACGTCAGTAAGTTTTTTCATCTTTTCACAGTGTAAAATTTACCCTTTTATCATTACTTTTTTGATGGAATTTGTGGCATTTCTTTTGTATTCCAATGTTAGCCTCGCGATTTTAAGAAGGGTGCATTGTCCGGTGTGAGGAGGAAAACAGCCATGATTTTGTCACTTCGCCGGTTCTCTATTCCTACTGCTCAACATTATAAGTGCTACATACGTCACGAGTAACACAGTTACCTGTATCAGTTCATTAGCACTTCAATTCATTATGTTATTTGTACGCGTAATATAGAGTACGGAAGTACAGAAGAATACCTTAATCAAATCACACAAAACTGGATTTCTTTTGTTATCTTTCTTATTAGTTTCAAGGCGGAAGAATATAGTGTTTAGGAAGAGTTGTTCTCTCAAATGGTTTTAGAAAATTCGTATGCCGGCCTTCCAAACTCCATCCACAATGAAGCAACATAACCCGCTGACAGCCACATAGTATATATTGGCGTTTAAGCTTATTATGACTATTTGGCGTTTTGGATTATTGCTTGTAGTTGTGTTCACGATTAATAAATATGGTCCGTGCTCTTTACTGTGTGTAGAAAAAAAACACTAGGCAAGAATTTTGCGTTTTCTTGAGAAAGAAGGTGAAAAACTTATAATAATCAAGGGTTTTTAAAGACTATTTAATGTGGCTGATTTGAATCCGCTTTCGCTTCTGTTGTGATAAATTTTGCTGTTAGGAATAAATTTGGTCTGTAAGAGCACTACACTATTTTGACAATTGAAGGCTTTAAGCCTGCTTGACAGTGTCTCTGCGCTTGTGTCATAGGGAGAACCACCTGGCATTTATATTATACTCGAATGCATGGTGAAAACCAAACTTAGGAATTCTCTCAATCAATTTTTCTTGCTAATGTTATGAATTTTTTGAGGTTGAAATTCGCGCGTTGAAGTCGATTTTAGTTTTTATTTGGTGTGTTTTATGTTTCGTTCCCCGTAATGAACAGACATGTTGAGCGATGCGAGTGTTCATTTGGTCAAGTGGTTTAACGTTATTTTGTTGATTGTCTCTTCTCGCCAAATGTTCAGTAATTATCGAGCTCCAGACATTGAAAAAAACTCTTAAACTATAACATGAAATGCTTGCCAAATTGGTTGCCAAATTTCATTACTCGTCAAAAAAAACCCTCATTAGTTTTATGTCAATGTGTGGACGTTACTTTTTTCATTAATGCTACGTAAACTAAAACGAATGAGAGATTATATGCCCCACTTTTTTCATTTTCAAAATGTTCGATTTTCTAACAACTTTAAATATCTATCAATTATCTACATGAAGCACTCTAATGGTTTTCCTGATTACCACCTTGAAATAGCACTTCAATGGGTTTGATAATACGTTGATGGCTTTTCTACCAATCAGCTTCATTTCCCACTACGTTATTTTGCCCAGACAGGTGAAAATGAACTATTAGAGGCATGCTATCCGGTTTTAGTGTATTGAATAATTCATCGAGGACTAACTTAAAGGAAAACGAAATTCACACCTGTTAACGCTGTAGCAACAAGATATTTGCTTTTCGTTCTACTGGTTTTGTTTTGTCGTGATGCGCGCGTAGAAACTAGGTGGATTATTTCGCCCCCCTGTAGATCTATAGTCTTACCCCCACGAAACTATTTTGGCCAACCCAAGAAGACGTGTTATGGACGAAAGATCTGACGTATTCCCCGTGAATCACTATTTAGTCAAAATTCCAGTGCGTTTTTCTATCGACTATGTAGCCGGGTACTTCACTTAGTAGTTTCGGGATTCTCTTCAAGATGGTCAAACAAGGTCTTTCATCGAAGAGTTCTGCTAAAAGCGGACTTTCAGTACAAGACACAGCTTCGTTGACTAAGGGACAGACGAGAATACGAATCCTTAAAGGCCTTGCTTCTCCGCTTACGAAAAAGGTCAGAAACGAAATCTTCTGGTGTATTTCTGTATGATTAAGTTTCTCATGAACCTCAGTCAGTCTGTCAAAAGATTGTTTATTGAGAGAAAAATAAGTATTTACCGAACAGAAACCGTTTATTTACGGTGTGACACAATGTTCATCATGCTTAGTAGTCTCCCACCAGTCTTTCATGTAAATGTTTGAGTATGTATGTACACCTTCGTTTTGTTTTCATAGCCAGTCAAAATATACTCTAAAATCAGAATATGTAGTTAGGTTGTATTGGGTTAGTATGAGTACTCGAATCGATTCGTTTTCTATCCGTTAGGTCATTCATGTCAACAGTTGAACCACTACAATCCACTCTTCTGTAGCCATGCATCATTCAGAACGATTCTAGTCCATTTAATTATCTTAATCGTTAGCACTTTCTCTAAAATTTAAACGAACAAAATCCTCTATAATATATATTATAATACTCAAAGTCTTCGGATTATTTCTTCGTGGCTAAGAACAAATTTTACAAGAAACGATAAAAGATTATCTTTTTCAAATGAAAAAAAGGATTCCAAAATACTTCACAATTTTAATTTTTGAGCAAAGAAATAGGGTAAAAACTGTGTACAAATTATTAATATTCTTCGTTTTCTCAATATTTGACTGGTTTTAATTTCCCAAGATTTGCAAATTGTCTTCAATTCTGTCAACTTCATTATTTTTAAGTACATACCACGTAAAATCGACTAAATTTCAAGAATACTTGCTCATAAATAATGAATGTGTGAATGACGAAAAAAGATATTTCTATTTTGAATAATTTGAATCCTGCATTGGGTAATGCGCGCTTCTTGCTACGCGCTTTTTGCGAACACGATATATTAGGCTACGAAGACATTGACCTACATGATTTTTTTCAAAGACCGTGCTTCTAAATCCTTTTCCGGACTTCAAGTTTTTTAAACTAAGTTCTTGGATTAGTCGTTCAGYGTTTTCACAACTCTAGGGAAAGAAAATTGGATTCATTAATGTTTAGCTGTAATAAGTTTATCGTTAAAGAGTATTTTTCCTATTTTCTTCTCATCTTTGCATTAAAATCTTAGTCTCTTTCATAATTATTGGAATCCCTCTTTCATTGATATTTTAATGTTTTCCATTAATGGTCGATTGCTCGATTCCTGAGCCCTGAACCTCAATTATTTCTCTTCCTTTGCAAAGGATCTACTAATCCTTCACTTTATTTTTCCAGGCTCAAAACCTTAATCTAACAGATTATGCAAAACCTACTATCCGAAAAGGACAGTCTGCCATTGCGTAAGTACTTTTATCTTACTCTTCCAGTTATTTTTCCTTAATGGTACTTAAGTTTTTTCGTTCTACTTACTGCACTAGACCAGGAAAAGTTTAAAAAACCGTACGGTTCCTTGACTCTCAATGGGCTTCATCTCTAAACCAATCAAAAAGCACAGGACGTGAACCTGCTGCAAAACGGAAACCATTTGAGTGCTATCGACGCTTTTTTTCAATAATACAAAATCTTCCATTCAAAAGTTTTCCTGTTTTTCGTTTTCTAAAACAATGTTACTTAATGAATTTTTCTATTCGATCGCGTCGTCCTTCATTTCCTCTTCCAATAAGAATTTCTTCACTTTATTTGTATTTATTTTTTCGGTTTTTTAGCTCACGTCTACGTCATTACCGGTGATTCAGTTGTGAAATTTTAATTCCAAAAACGAGCCGTTATTATATTTAATGTCGATAGTGCCTTCAGCTGCTAAAAATAGAAGCCGACATTCTAACATCATAGCACTTCGAAACTTTGGTGCAAAACGTGTATGCAAAGCTCTGTTGTTTCGCCACCCGAGTGAAAAAAGCTTTAAGAGCGAAGGAAAAAAGGCAAAGCAACGATAAACGTAAGGAAAGAAATGGAAAGAAAGAAAGAGATAGAATAGGAAAAAGATGAATGAGAACAAGAGATAGAAATTAATGGAAAAATAACAGAAACAAATGAAAAGTTAATAATGGGAAAGGAAAGGAGCGAGAAGAATAAAAAGGAAATTGAACAGAAATGGAAAGGAAGATAGGAAATGGTTTGCTTCTCTAATGAATGAATATAAGGACTCGCCCAATTTTTGAAACTCTGAAAAAATTTAAAGTATTATTAAAAGAGAACTAACTTCTTTGTTAATGATATGTTTTTACGGTTAAAGACAACTGTCCGGCTACGTTTTACAATGTTTTTACCAAAAATTCTCAAGTGTGGTCCGTCAGATTCGAATGTAGGCTCGAATCCCTTCCTCTCTTCTCTGTCTACTACCTAAAGAAAGCGATGTACTTGCATGCGACGTGGCTTGACAGGAAGACCAAACACAAGTAGCTCCTTATGCTATCAGAACAAAGCCATTTCCTTTCACCCTTCGGCTTATTTTTCTAGCAACTTTTTGAAGTATCTCAAGACCGCGAGGCCCATGTCAATGGATTTCCTTAATCTATCATTGGTTCACAAAAGGCTTTGCTACAAAAATAAACCCACTAAATTAGATGATATCTGTTATTGACTGTTACCATTCCAAATCACTTGCTTCTGGTTTAGATGCCGAATCAGTTACAAACAACTAAATTATGATATTTCGTTGCTTGAGCTTACGGTGAGTGAAATTGTTTTTATTTGTTGAAAAGTCACACATTTGGAATTTTTGAACGATACTCCTTTTCAAGTTATCTTGCCTTAAGTGGAAAAGCATTTTCTACCCTTCATTCTCAAAATCCTTCGAAAAATAACAACGAAACAGCCGCCATGTTGGTTGATCTAAACAGAGAAGCTAATGGTGGTAATAACGTAACATGCACCCCAAGAATTCTTGTTGGCCCCAGCTTCAGTGAATAGTATTCATAGTGCCCAAAGAGCATCCTGCGAAACATTTCAAATTCTTATTTTTCTCCTCCTTTTTTTAACACGTCCCTCTAGCTTTGTTTTTCACGTATGCGCAATTAGTGTTAAGTCTACTTTTAAAAAAAACTTACCGTTAATTATCAGTAAAAACGCACTCGAGGCAAAGTGTAGAATTCCATTCAATTTCTTGAGAATTTCTTGAAAAAAGATATCTAGAGTCATTATTTACAATTTTTTAAAGATATATCAATAACATTTTTCGTATATAAGAGCTAAAATGGTTATCATCGCGACAGGTCGTTAAAATCATACTTATTCTTTCAATAATCTTAAATTTAATTATTTTATTTAATTCTTGATTAAAAGTCACATAGTTACGATTAGCTATTCGTAATATTGCCGATTAACCATAATTCACAAGTTTTCTTGTAGAATAGCGAGCCCAGAATATTAAAAGGGCAAACATAGAATGTTTCGTGACGGCATTGAAGGAACAGTCAGAAGTTCCAATCAGCTAAACTTATTTACATGAGTGTACGTGCCAAGAAAGTTATTAGAACATGAGATCGATATCTCTATATCTCTTAGCTGACGTAAGAATCCTTATCTACCATGCGGTTTGCTAAAATAGCAATCTTACTTTTCCCGCCTTTTGTTTTTTGCTTCTATAATTACCATGTAGCACGCAGGGACATATAGCTGATATGTGTCGATTATTTGTGTATTACGGCGTAATGCAGGTGAAATGATGCAGTCTATAAGGCCTATTTGTTACTGTAACATAACAGATATGTATCGATTATTTATGTATTACGGCGTAATGTAGGTGAAATGATGCAGTCTATAAGTCCTATTTGTAACGCTGACATAGCAGATATGTGTAGATTAATGTATTGCGTTGTAACAGGGACAGCTATTGCGTTTATATTTAATGACCTACAATAGTTTCAGCTAATTTTCGTTTTCTAGAGCAAATAATTGCTATGCATTCTAAAATAATCTTAAAACTAAATATTAGTATTCGGAGAGGAAAAGTGCTCTACTTTTTTCGCTTTGTTTTTTTTAGGCTACAAAATGTTTAATGTCATTGGAAGGTGGAATTTTGGTTAAATCCCATAGAAATGTCACAGCTGAAATTAGAATGAATCTGAATCTAATGTGTGCGTCCTGTTTATAATTCTTAAACTAGCTCTTCCTTTAATATTTTATCCTCCATCTCGCTAACCTTCCGTTGTTCCATCTAGGCTTCCATCCTTCCTTTCATCCGTTCTTCATGCAGTCCACCCACTCTTTTCTCAGCCTTTCCTTGCTTAAGATTTTTTTTGCACCACTCCAACCTTCTTAAAATCCTCATATCCATCCCACAATCAACCCATCAAGAAATCATTAGTAAAGGCCAGACAGTGCGTGTGGTCACTCTCGGGATTTATTTACTTCTTCAGTGGTTCTTTAACGTTGCTCTAACGTAGGGTGAGGTAGTGTGGAGAGACGGAACCGCCATTTTACGTGGTACTAATTGTACTATTATATTTCTCCTAGACTTACGAGTGAAGAACACATCACTAAAGTTCGTCGTGATCCTAATGGATATAAACTGCCCATGTCACCAGCAAGTAAGTACCCCTCAAGAAGATTTTAATATACCAAGCATTTTCTGGTTCTATCTTTACCACGCATTTCCTGGTCATGTCTTCACCACGCATTTCCTGGTCATATATTTACCACACATTTCCTGGTCGTATATTTACCACACATTCCCTGATCCTATCTTCACGCATTTCCTGGTCATATCTTCACCACGCATTTCCTGGTCATATATTTACCACGCATTTCCTGGTCATATTTACCACGCATTACCTAGTTCTATATACACCACGCATTACCTGGTTTATATACAACACGCATTTCCTTGTATTATTCTACACATTTTCTCAGTGCTATCATACCACACCTTTCCTGGTCATGTGTGAGTCCCACATTTCCTGGTCATGTTTGGCCTTCATCATCTGTTATCGTTAATTGGAGGCATTCTAAGATTTTCCCCCATCTTCCTATTTTCCATTTCTGCATTTTGCGTTTATTAGTTTTCCTTACCTATCTATTTTTCATCTTATCATATCATTCTTTTTATTTCGCGCTCGTTTTGATGTGATGCAAGTAAGGCCTTTCCAGCTATATTATCCTCGAGTTTAGACTAAATTCACCCCTAACATTTTTACGATGCATTTGTTTTAATTTCCTAGGCAAAAAATTCCAGTTTCTTTCTCTCTATCACAGCAGACAATTAAACATTATCTTGAAGTGTTAAGAAAATAAAGAAACACTCACTCCACTCGGCCCCAGAAAAAAATGTTTTTTTCATGTTTCGCATTTTCCACTTTGCTTATCTATTTAATAGATCCTTAAAGATGGTTGTTTAATCTTGTTTCTCTTATGAAGGTATCTCAGCTGGCAGTCTGTCTAATATTATTGCTATTGTTGTTCTTTTTTCTTCTCCTTCAATCAGCTGCTGTCAAAGCGTATAGTGATCGACTCACTACATTCGAGCAATCAGAAATCCTTGATTACCCAGAGATCTGGTTCCTTGGGTTGGATGCGAAGAAGATCGAAGGAATGCCTGGTGGACCGCAGAATAATCGTAAGTCATTGTCAAACTTTTGATGTTTTAGAACGGCTTGTTAATTTTGATAGGTGTTGGCATACTCTGCTTGAAATACAGGTCCAGAAGTTCTCTTGTGCGCCATGTTTTTCTATTTCAGACTACGTGTCATTCCCTTGAGTATCATCTTTTCTTCATCTGCAACACATATATTCAGGCGATATGCGATACAATCACATTAGCATAGATTCTGCTTAGAGACCATGTTTAAGAGACTTCTTGTGCGCCATGTTTTTCTATTTCAAACCACGTGTCATTCCCTTGAGTATCATCTTTTCTTCATCTGTAACACCGGCGAGGCGATATGCGATACAATCACAATAGCATAGATAGACCGGCGGTATCAATAACCATCTTAGACATCATGTTTCTGTATTTCAGATCCTTTGAGCAACATATTTTCTTAATGCCTATTTTTTATGGATTTGCAGACTATGATGACGAGAATGGTAGCTACCTAAAAAGCCTGCACGATCACTTGATGTACAGATACGAAGTACTAGAGGTGCTTGGTAAAGGCTCGTTTGGACAAGTAGTTAAAGCAATAGATTATAAAACTGGACAAAATGTCGCTGTCAAGATCATTAGGAATAAAAAACGGTGAGTTGTTAAATGAAAGGATGGCATGATGGGCGCTGGTGGTGTTGTGGTGCCTGTCAGATGGGATAACTCCAAGCTACTTACAAAAAGAAACGAGAAAAAAGAAAAGAAAACAAGAAGAACTCCAAGAAAGGACACTAAGAAATACTTCAATGCAGCATAGAGAAGATGATGATAGTGTTGATGCTGGTTACGATGACGACGACGAAGATGATGATGTGATGATGTTGATGATTATGGTGCTGATGATGAGGATGACGATGGTGGTGGTGATGATACTGGTAACAATGGCCAAGAAAAGCAACGTTTTATCTCCATTTTTTCTGCCTTAGATTTCATCAGCAAGCTTTAGTAGAGGTGAAAATCTTAGAAAACTTAAGAAAAAAGGTGAGCATCTTTCACATAATATTGTATGATTTTGGTTATCACTACTACTGTTGCTGATATTGTGCCATTTGTCGTTTGTTGAGCATTTCAGTCCTACTTTGTATATTAAAATAACACATAGAATTGAACTTTAGCTATGATTTGTGTCATTTTGTGCAGGATAAAGACAATACCCATAATGTCATACACATGATTGATCATTTCTACTTTAGGTAAGTCTTGAAGTCCTTCGTTTTCACGTTACGTCATCTGGTGGACTTTAACAAAAGACTTCTCAATAGGTCCTTTTGTATCTGTCCACCAGCATGGCCGCCATGTCTTTGTCTTTTGCTCCTCTTGGGAATGGTTGAAAACAACCAATAGTCCATTTTCCTATTGCATGCCTTTAGTAAAATCTAAATCATTCATATCACTGCAACCCGTAGCCTCCTTTGCAGCCGTTCTTAGGGTCGTCACGCAAACGTTGCGTGACGACCCTAAGAACGGCTGCGAAGGAGGCTATGCAACCCGAAGCACAAATTCCAACAGGTTGTTAAAACAAATTGTTGAGGGAAACTAGAAACTTTGTCTCCAAGTTGGCATTCTCTGACTTTATTCATCATGCTTTCTTTATCATTCTCTACGGCTTTAACAGCCTTTCCTATGCTAGTCTACGGTGACGTTCTTGCCAATCATCCTAACACAATTTGATAGATTTTTTTTCTTGGTTTGCAGGAATCACCTTTGTATAGTCTTTGAATTAATGGGGTAAGTAATACCATAGATGAGAGAGGTGAGGGAGATAAAATGGGATGAGATGGGTTGGAAATGATGGATAGATTAATAATGGTATTGTTTGATTAATGGCTGGTTGAAAGAGTGAACGGACGGACGGAAGGTTAATCATTCAATATTTTTGCTTTGCAGGATAAATTTATACGAACTGATAAAGAAAAATAATTTTCAAGGATTTAGCTTGGCGCTGATTAGAAAGTAAGTTTTGGTATTGAGTTAATAGTAAAAATGGTTTTTATCAATATGCTTCTCGATTCTACAGCCCGTCATACAGTTTTGAACACAAGCACGCATGCACAGACACAATGTATTTTTATAAAATTGCTACATACTGGACACTAAGAAACAAGGTTCTTTTAGTGAAAGCGTTCTAGTATTTAAATCTAAACGAAGCAAAAGGATACTCAAACAAATAACTCGTTTTTAAACTTAAGAAACATTTTTTTTGTGTGTGTTTCAGGTTTGCTATTGCACTTCTACAATGCTTAAAAGTCATCCACAAAGAGAAGATCATCCATTGTGACCTGAAACCGGTAGGTCCTATAAAACGTCATCTGAGAAGATCCATTCAATAAATAGTTGGCTTAAAATTCATCAAGAAAATTTGGTCTCAAGCCTAACTGAGATATGCAGCTCAGTAGATCTCAGCATTTCATAATTGATTGTAATTAATTAATTGATTAATTAATTAATTAATTAGAACAATAGAATTCAAGATGGCCGCCGTATCGGTATGATGGTCTATAAGACGAATCATTGTATGCACAGTTTAATCGTATAGCACCAGACTGATTAACAATAGCAATCCGCGTTAACACATTGAATAAGATTAGGCACGGTCCAAATCCCTAATATTTGTTAACCTAATATTATGTTTTTAACAGGAAAATATTTTACTTCGACAAAAGGGACAGACATCAATCAAAGTGATTGACTTTGGCTCCAGTTGCTATGAGCACCAAAGAGGTAGGCAAATATCAAACACCCACATAACTTACTTCATCGCCGCCATGTTGGTGGTATTTAACAAAAGAATATCATTAGCTTGATTAGTTACTACCTCAAGCATGGCTGCCACTCTTTTTTAATTTGACTGTAATATAATTCTTGAAAACATATAATTTTTTCTTCTCATTTCTTTCCTGTAATTTTATTCCCACCTTTTCTCTACCTTCGTCTGCCATAACGATCGTCGTCTTTCCAAGTGTCTTCTAATCGTGTTTTAACGCGCATATTGCTTCTACCTTCTTCCGTTCCTGATTTGAAAAAATACATTTAATTAATCTCTGTTCTTTTTCTTCTTTTTTCAGTTTATACATATATTCAGAGTAGATTTTATCGTTCACCTGAAGTTATTTTAGGTAAGCGTGTTGCTCGTTAAGAAGACTACGCCGTAGCATGGTCAACGTAGCCTCAAGAAGTGGTAGCACTCTTTTTCATGCGCGCGCCATCTTATTAGGAAATCATTAGTCCTAAAAAGGACTTCAACCATGAATAAGACGACGCGGGCGCGAAAAAGAGTGTTTTCGCCCATTCCTCTTTGTTGCATCTGTGTATTATTTGCGATAATTCCTGTCTCATTTTCTGATTGGCTAAAGTCTACTGTACCTTGAATGCGTAATAAGCAACATTTCAGAAAGATTTCAATTGTGCGCGCGCAAAAGGAAACATGAATAAATAAATTCTAGCATTCCTCTTTGGGGCGCATCCTTATGTGTGATATTTCCTGTCCAACTTTGTGATTGGCTAAAGTCTACTCCACCTGGGCTGTCTTAGAGTAGTAGACATTAATAGTGAAGATAACTGCGAGCGCTTCAGAAAAAAAAATTAACACGTCGTAGTTGCTCTTAGGAACGTGTCTTATTAAATTCATTATGTGTGATAATTCTTGTACCATCTGGGCTAACTTGTCTCGTCATTAGTTCTCAGTAACGTTATGCTGATGTCCTTGCAGGATTGCCTTACAGTATGGCTATCGATATGTGGAGTTTAGGTTGTATCCTAGCTGAACTATATACTGGATATCCTCTCTTTCCCGGTGAAAATGAAGTAGAACAACTCGCTTGTATTATGGAGGTAATTATCCTATCAGTGAATGTTGTCTGCCCTTGGTTGAGAATGACTGATATGATTGGCAGACCCAACGCTAAATGATTGACTGACTTGCTTTTTGTTATAGGTCTTAGGTCTACCTTCTCCAAAAATAATAGAATCAGCATCACGAAGGAGATTATTCTTTGGTAAGTGGGCACGTCTTTACCTTGAGATGAAGTCTTTCCTGGCATTTCTTTATGTGCCACAGTTTCAAACTGTGTGAACTGTAATTTCTGGTAGAGTGCACGCACTAAAACCGTGAACATTAAATAGCACTAATTAGTACTATTTCATACAGAATCCTTTGTTTTCTATTGTTTAATTATCACTATTTAGTGCTAAAAATTAGTATTTGTTTTACGGATTTAGTGTGAGCACTCTACTGTCATGTTGTGTTTTACATTTTGCATGACCTAATCATGACACGGTCACGTTATGGATTGACGTCATGCGTCCAACCAATCACGGAGCATCCAATCAAAATGATTTACCCGTCTCGATGACACGGTCACGTACAGCTTGACGACACGCGCTGAACCAATCACGGCGTATGAGTTTACTGCTCTTACTTCCAATGAAAGTGATTTAACGCGTCTCGACATGACACGGTCACGTACAGCTTGACGACACGCGTTGAACCAATCATGGCGTATGAGTTTACTGCTCTTACTTCCAATGAAAGTGATTTAACACGTCTCGACATGACACGGTCACGGTACGGCTTGAGGACATGTGCTGAACCAATCACGGCGCGCGAGTTTATTTCTTATCCAATCAAAATGATTTGACACGGTCACGGTACGGCACGTCAGTATAGTATACGCTTTTACAGTCATGAAATTTGCCTTGGCTATGAAAAACTAATCATAGGTCACAATCAAAGTCCTGGATCAGATAACCAGGGACATTGGTTAATTCTGTATACACTCTTATTTGCAGATTCCAAAGGAATCCCACGATGTATCACAAACTCCAAAGGCAAAAAACGAAGGCCTAGCACTAAAGATCTAAGTACAGCAATAAGAAATAACGATGCTTTGTTTCTTGGATTCTTAAGGCAATGTTTAGAGTAAGTAAGCTATTCCTATGTCACAGTTACCCGTAGAGAATACTGTATATGCAAGCATTCCCAATAGAGTTAAGAGACAAAACATGGCGGCCATTGTGGTACCGTTAACAATGGACGCTAATGAGAAATCTTTTGTTAAATGGTACCAACATGGCCGCGATGACGTAACGTGCAATCGAAGAATATGGCGGAAGATGAGACAAAGGATAGCGCTGTCCGACGGATAAATCCTTATCCAGTGGATAATAAGTCGATGCTGTTATCCAATAAATTTGTCCACTGGATAAGATTTATCAGCGCTATCCAATCTTCGTACAACCAGGCACTTGGCACTGTTATATTATATATTATAGTTAATTATTTATTTAGGTAATGAATCCTGCCTTTCTTTCAGATGGGATCCTGATAAACGTATCACTCCAGACGAAGCTCTACAGAATGACTGGATATTAGAGGTATATGTTCTTACGATTCTGAGATAATTTAGCCAATGTCTTTTTGGTATGAATATGACTAAAGGTAAAGGAATGAGGTAAACTTACCATAAGCTTGGGAAGTCAACTAGAACGAAACACGATCAAGATGGTGGGTTCTACCCGAGGAGTACATTATCATCTTTGTTCAGGACAAAAAGATTTCTTATGCAAATCATTGTTTTAAGCTGGAAAACGATTTCTTATGAAAATCATTCTGTTATAAGCTATGCAAATCATTCTGTTATGAGCTGGGGAAAAATTCTTACGCAAATGATCGTGTCATAAGCTAAACCGCATCTTGACTCCATCATATCCTTCACAACTTACCCTGAAGAGGATAAAGTTTTGATCAAGAAGTCGGGACAATTTTTGTTTTATATTATTTCTATCTAGAGATACATTTTAATCAACATTATCTACGACACCTGGATACTATAAAAGCATTTTCAATACCAATATCGGATCTTGCGTGCTCATCTAACGACCGGTTTCAATTAGTTGAGATCGATTTTTTATCGCGCTGTCGTACGATGATGTAAATAATTCAAAATTAAGTAAAGACTTTTCATATTCTTGATATATTTTGGTACTTACTTGAATGTGTTATTACTTCTCCAGGGGCGTCAGAAACTTCGTGGTATATCGCGCATTAGTTCACGGTACCACCCATTAACCAGCCAACGTAGCAACCACGATGTTAGCTCGACAACAGACACGACAACAGCCAATGACCAACCTAAACCTAGTGGAGAAACCCAAGGTTGGATCAAGCGAAGCGCGAGAACACGTGAACGACTTCAACCAATCGGAGCCGACTCTAGTCATAATCCAATACACGATAACAATAACAATCTACACAAGACAACGTCAGGGACTGGTAAGGAGAGTATAGGGATTGGCTTGTTATCGAAGAGGATTACTTCCGGTGATGCACATTCAGCAAAAAATAAAGACAAAGATATAGAGCTATCAGCGCCAGAGAAACCCTCCAATGATGGAGAAAAAGAGGGACAGTTTTTACCTCCTATCAAATAGTGTTACCAAGTAATGTGTGAATTATAGTGTGTGCTTAGTCCCACATATAAACATGAGAAAAAATTAGGGCTGGATATTAATTAGATATAGGGGAGGGGAGGGCTGGTGCAAAATTGGAAAGATCTTTAGTTAGTTTTTCCCCACCCCACCCCCACATCTGTAGTACATTGATCCCTGAACTCTCTTACTTTAATGGTCAACCTTTCTCCCCTTGCATGATATTTGCCACCCTACCCCTTAATTATGCACCAGCCCTGCCCAGCATAATGTCTAATTTATGACCTGTTTCTTATTTTACTGTATTTTTATCTCTTATGAAAATCTCAAGTTTTTGATGACTTTAAATTATTTTTCAAGGTATTTATATTTTTTATCCAAGTATTTATTTCTCATTCCTCTGGAGGAAGAAGCCAACAAAATTTCTACAAATCCATTCACAATTTCTATTTCATTTTCTAGTTTTCCATTCCAAGAAAGAGTCATTGTAATTTAAACTATTACTATTGCTTGTTAAACAAGTTTCTATAAAGTAAAAATGATATTTATTATTAATAATGCTAAAAGGTTCTTTGTAAAACTGGAAATATTTTTAAAAGTAGTTTTAGATCTACTTTATTGCAAAATCTGCTCGTCAAACCAAACCGAATTATAATTTTCACGAAGGTCTCTTACTTTTTGACCACTATTTATTATCTATTTATTTTGTCATTCAAATGCCTTGTGTATATAAGAGTGCAGTGAGATTTCTTATAGCTTGTTGTAATTTTAAATGAAGTATTACGTTTTGGACTTACTTTTTTTGATACTTAAAACTAGTTGAAGCCAAATATGTTGTTGTTTGAAAAGGATGTTTCTTGCATGTTCAACCCAACTCGTTTTTGGTTTTTCAGTTGTATGTTTGACGAAAAAGTATTTTTGTATCATTTTAAATATTTATACGAAACCACCGGAAATATTTATTTTTAGTTTGAAATATTTTTAACAATTTGGTTTGGTTCGATTTTAGTCTCAATCAATAATGTACTGTATGGCTTAAAAAAGTATCTTGGTAAGATTGAACCAAGTTAAAGCAAATGAGTTTTTCTATAAAATATTTGAAGTAAAAAAAAAAAAATTAAAACAAACCGACTTGGTTGATAAGCTCATATGATTTCATGTTTTTCTTTAAGAGTAGTTTTCGTAAGACTGAAAAGCTCGCGGCACGAACACRGTCGTAATACGGTAAGGCCTACGCCAGACCAATCACATTGCGTGAGGATTTACTCTCCATCCAATCAAATATCCGAAACACGGCATGAACATGGCGCGGACACTGTCACGCCAAGGTCATGGCTCTGCCAGACCAATCACATTACCGAGAAAAAAAATCAGCCAATCAAAATTCTAGAAAACATCACGGTCGCGGCAAGTCACACATGCGGCACCGAGCTTTTACAGTCCTACGAAAATTGCTCCGTCTTTTTATTTGACTAACCTGTTGTTATTGTTGCAAAGTCACTCGGCCTTTTGACTTCAGTGGATTCTTTTACAAGAGACCATGGCATGCTTCAATAAATAATTATACTTCAAGTTTAACATTGGAAACCATATTTCTACTAACTAATATTGTCAATGAATAAAAAGAGCAAGAAGTCTTATTTGTTGTCAAGATTTATTGAATTATGATACATATACCTTTAAACAGCAACCTTTTTCTGTTCTCCTGCAAAGTGTGGTTCATTTTGGAAAAATGTTATCCAAATGCTTCGATGGCCGGATTCGGGGCGTCGTCACCTTTTGAAATGGCCTCCGACTGACGAAAGCTGCTAAGAGTTTATTTTAGTTTTAAGTTTACCGATTTTTGTTGTTTGTATCTCATGGTTTTGGTGGGTTTTAACCGTTAGAAAGAGAAAGAAAAGATGGCGGTATGGAATCGTTAGGAGGAAGTAAATTTATATTCTTGAGAATAAGATTCTTTGTGGAGTTGTATCGATATTCATGTGTCTTTTCACGCACTACTGTTAAACAAAGAAATGATACTCTAGGGAATGACACATGGTATGAAATGGGAAAACATTACGCCCAAGCTAAAGAGGTCTGTTCAATAAGATATTACATTTATCAATACAAAAGTGACAAATTTACAAATATTTTTTAAGTGCATTTCAAGAAAAAATATATAATACATGTTCGCCTGTGATAAAACAAAATTTTATGTTTCTTAATTTAACTGGCTGACTTATTTCAAAGGAAAGACTGGTAAGGATTACGTCGTGCATAGGATTGTGGGTCAACAACGTTTTCTAGCAGAGCTTTGTGACCTCGTCTTAATTTCATACAGTCCCACAATCCTATGCACCAAACGTTTGTTACCAATGTTATTTTAAAAATTAACTAGTTATTTTTCTCTTGTTAAAATATTTTTATCGGTATAATTTGACCCTCTAAAATATCTTGTTAGCCTATTTGTACGTGTTACGAAATACGATTAATGATATCTGATACAGTTTGTAGGATTTACGCAAGATTAAGGATGGATAATTTTGGTTGATTCAGTGTCATAACGGTTGGATATCTTTCCATTTTAGCGCGTTTTTCAATGCTTGCATTAAAATAGAAAAGGTCAAGTAGAAACAAAGCAAGTTCTGGTCTAAATTGTTTAACATGTAAGGCGAACTATATGATTTACAAAAATAATTTGTAGACGAGATTAATATTCTAAAAACACACTGATAGAAATTAAATGTACTGCACATGCTCGAAACTGGTATTACTGCAGTGGACACTAATCTCGTACCCAGAACTACTCGGTTTCGTTCCCAATAACTGTACGCCGCGCATGCGCCTAATTGTCCGAGAAAATAAACATCGCCGCTGGAAAATACTGCATATAACAGCGTCAATAAGTCGAGGCTTTCAAGGGAAAAGTATTTTAGCACAAACATTAGAAGGTTTTCCACAAACAATAGAAACAGTATGCATTGGTTAAAAGGTTGAAATACAAATTTAATACTAAATAGAGTAAGATGATCTTAAAGGCGCTCACCCCCGCTGTTTGTTTCCCCTTTAACCTATCCCTACCCCTCCCCCCACCAGCCCTCACCATTTACTCCCTAAAGTTCTCTCATGCAGTCCGATGCAGTCCACTGTTTCAATGTGTCGGCCATATTCCGAGCATGCGCAGTACCTTGTTGTATCAGTGTCTTGTTACTCGCGTTCTGCGTTATGTCTATAGTGATCAGAATAGGTACTATTCCTGTGGTTTAGCTCTTGATGCTTGAGCTGTTGAAAGATAAAGTATCATTAGACAGTTCATCTTGAAATCAAGCAACTCAGTGGAATTGGAAGAAAAATAGGCGTTACTAAGAACCTCGAGAACTAAAAATTGACCCCGATACAACACGACAAATATGGATCGGATTTATTCGAAGGGGGCTCGCGCATTCGTTTGAATTCAATATCGACGGAGAAGTGTTACTAGAACGTCGTAGGATATAATACAAGCTGTAAACAAAATAGTTATTTCCAAAAAAAATAGCAAAGTTATTTATAATAACATTTGCGTTGCTTTTATTTTGCTCCGTCCCCGTTTTTGCGCAATCTCAAAGACGACACTTATCCAAAACTGAAAATCAGTGCCATATGCATGATGTTGGACTGTACTTTTTCGCGCTCTTTCCTAGAGCACCCTGTCCATGCACGCAATACCTATTCCAGGATAGTATAGCCATGTTAGCCATGTATTGTGATTTTTCATTGCTTTGGTGGTCACGAGGGTAAGAAAGCGAGAACTAGTAGGGGAGGGGAGGAGCGTGCTCATGTATTGCGATTTTCTATCGTTTTCTGATGTTGGGAGGGTGAGAGAGCGAGA